TTTTTCTCTTCTCCCAAGATGATCTTAATTATTGAGCATAGTTTTGATTTAAATTCTGCTCAGTCATTGAAATATTTTTGATGGGGGAATAAAGTTTTTTAACATGTTTCAGGGCAGCTATCTAGAGCACAGTGTCATGTAGCGGTATTCAGCCAACTACATCATCAGATAAACCAAATTGTGTAGTGGGTGAGACGCCATGATACCAGATGCATAAAGTAATCCACTAATGGCTTGAGAATTCAATGTCGTTCAGCACACATATCGCCTTAAATGATGATCTGACAGCTAAGGAGGTGCGATGGTATCAAGGACTTCAGTTTTTGATCGGTAGCAGTTCATGATGGGTTAATCTTGCACCGCTCAGCATGTCACATGACCAAGCACATCTAATCCAATGGCTCTTGAAGCATCACTATATCATAAACTTAAGTTGTCGCATGTATCACTATGAAGGATATAAAGATAATAATTGATTATTATCTCGTAAAATAGACACTATCGATTATCTTTACAATCACGATGGTAGTCATGAATATGACAATCTGTTTCCTCCCTCTTTTTGTGCGATCAACATCTCTGATGATCGGGAAGCTCATTCCTTCCTCCCTCGACTGCACTCAAGTCTTCGATGAGTGGTCAACTCTCTCCTTCTTCCCCTAGATGATAGTGATAGGATGGTCAACCCTTCTTTCAGCAGATCTCCCTAGCAAGTGGCACAATGCTTTTGAATGATACTTCTATGACTTCTAACGTGGTGTGACACATTTGGACAAAACCAAGCTGTCACACCAATATCTTTAGTTGCCCAAGAGGTAAAGTAAACTTGGACAATGATTATTTTCTACTTTTAGCATTTATTTACTTACTTTTGTCATTTATTTATATTTTATGGCAAGTTATTTTTGTTTGATGAATGTTTCAATTGAAATGAGCAGAACTAATTCAAAACTTGATGAATCATCTTGTTTTTCTTCTGAATCCTTTGAAACTCATCTAAGATTAAGCTAAGAACTTATTTTCTATTGATTTTCACAATCGAATCTTGACGTATTCATGTTCCTAATGTTCAGTGAATAATTAGTATTTTTCTCTTTTCGAATGTGAAATTAGTATGGTTAAAGGCTACTTAATAATCGTTGAACTGTTAAAACAATGTGGAGACATTCACGACTAACCTCATGTCATGTGTGTCAACTTTTGAGCATATATTCATTTGAGATAAATGGTCACTATGAAAAGGGTTGACCATATTTCTCTCTTTCTTTATTATGGTCTTATTTCTCTTTCTCCCTTTCTCGTGAGACCTTTTCTTCTCTCCCCATCTCTCGTGAGATCTCCCCCTTTTTCTCTCTCTCCTCTCTCTCTCATGTGACTTTTCTCTCTCTTCGTCTCACGTGAGATTTTCTCCTCTTTCTCTTTCTTTCCTAAGAGACCTCTTCTCTTGTCTTTTGTGAGAGCTCTCTTTCTTCTCTCTCTCTCTTCCTCCTTCCTTTCTCTACTTCCCTTCCTTTGTTCTTCTCACCTCACCCTTCTACTTTATTATTTCTGTTAAATATTAATAAAATATTAAAATCACTTTATATATAAACTAAATTAATTTTCACGAGAGATTAATCAATCTTCTAGTGTTTGAACTGGGACTTACTTCCGTATTAATATTTTATTGAGTCTTAGTTATAAATATTATTAGATAATGGGCATTTAAACACAATGATAAGTGCACATCATTGACAAGGAGATTTATTTTTAATCAGTGTTAATTGATTTAGTTTTTCATATGTCAATCTCGAAAGACATTTTGAATTTAAGGCTGATATTTCTAACACATTCAGAACTATGAATAGATGTGGTTTTCAATGGCAGAATCGTGCTTCTAGTTGTTGGACATTCCTCATCAAAATTGATTGCACACATTTGCACCTTGAACTTTATTTGAGAGGCTACAGAGAAATTCCAATAGGGACTAAGAGGTTACTAGTGTTAAATAAAGAATAGTTAATTGCCATATATTAATGGGGAAGAGATCACAATTAACACTAGCTGCTATATTGATTTAGTCAACCTTAAACAAACTTTACACTCAAAGCCTCAACTTTTGTATTCTTTATTATGTTTATTAAGCAGTCATAGGTTGGCTATTTAAAGTTGTCAAGTAAATGTTCATATTTAAATACCACTACTTTAGTGTCATAGAGAACTGGTTGATAACCTTTTGACTTGACTAAGTTGTTGTTTATTAAATAATATAAATTAAATATTTATAAAACTAGAAAATATCATTTTTTCAATTTTTAAAAATATTTTAGAATTAATAAATTAATTATAATTAGGTAGGAGGTTCCAAATATAATGGAGATTTAAAAATTAAGCATAGAGACGTAATATAATATCAAGTAATATTTCAAAACAATTCATAGACAATACTATTTATTATGATTTTTAAACCAATCAATGAAGATAAAATATAGTTAAAAATTCACAAAAATAAAAATAAGGGTGTAGACATCAAGATAACATCAACACCCTAGCAAACACAAATCGATTAGAAATAAAGTTTCACTCAACAAATCTTAATAAGTGATTATAGAAGATTTAACTAATCAAATTAAGTTATATAAAACTTAGAAGAATTTAATTTAATAAAGAAGAGTTTTGATACTTAAAATCACACAAAGTATCACTAAATTAAGTAAAAATTAAGTTGAAAGCAAGAAAGGTAACATTTCAACCTTGCGATAGTAATCGTTAGAATTTTATATATTTAGGAGGATTATCATGGCCCCAAAGTTCTCTTTGGTCATAGATGACCTAGGCATTCTCTAAATCTCTTTTTATAGTCTAAAAAATGATGGAGAAAGTTAAACTTATTAAAAATAATAAAATAGAATTCTGAGGTCACGATGGCAATACATTAGAATTCTAAGTGTTCGAGAGGACTTGTCTCCCAATAGATTATCCTCTTCGAAATGATGACTTGTTCATCGATCAATAGAAGATAATTTACTCGGTAGATTCATGATCCATTTATCTAAAATCATTTGACAATTTGAGATAATGATGCTTTGTGAATCATGTTGACGAGATTTTCACTAATGATTAAGGAATTCTAGTGACTTAATCATTGATCGATGTTTTGTAGGAAAATCATGATTTAATCAAATAAAAATAGAAATTTTTACTTTGGTGGGATTCAAACTCTTGCCGGTCACCTATCTATATAAGAGAGAGTAAAATAAGTATGTGGTGAATATCCTTATAAGGTGACTTTATAAAGGTATTTATTTCTCACAAACTAAGGGTATTGTAGATATTAAAACAAGAAATCATTAAAAAAACCTTCTAGAAAGTTGTGATGTCACTTTAGTCTCACATCTACTAATTTCTGAGTTTTGAGACAAATACAAGAATACAAGATTCTGTCATCAATAAGTTCTCTTTTGCATGTGTATGATTGTTCTTTGCCCCACACTCAGCTAGCAACCGATGATGGGGAAGGAGAATGATGCACACGTGCCCCGTCAACCCTTAACCACTCAAGCACATTACTCACGACTCTGTCCAACTATTTTTTTGACTCACTTGCAGGACAAACTAACTAGTACAGGACATGGATAGGGGACACACCTCACAATCATGGTTCACCTTTGCACAAATGGTTCTATTTTTACCTGTCCATATTTTCTCAAAGAGTAGTTATGACCTTCAATTAAGTCATTTAAGTCCTCTAGTTGCGAAAAAGAAAAGCAAAGGGTGGACTCCAATTTTCTTTACATTCCATAATCTCAACAAGCTCCTAGGGTTGCTCTAGTTTGATTTTAAATGCTACTAGTTAGAACCTTCCCAAAGGAAATTACTATTTGACTATTGTATGAAAACATTATCATTGGAATAGGCATATAATTTAGGAAACTATTTTGACCACTTTGTGCTGAGTAACTATTGTTGTAAAATATTTTTCAATATAACTATACATATATAACTAGCTAAGAGCATTTTTTCATAACTATGTGAAACCCATGAGGCAATGGAACAAAATATTTAGTTGTTTTCAGAAAAACTCAACATAAGTAATAAAGATAGCTGCTCTTTTTGGTGTGTTTATGATGCCGTTGAGGATAAGAGGTGGGCCAAAATCATTCTCCCGATGATGATGCCACGTCACTACCATTCTCCTCTTTATGCTATTCTATTGATATATGGTTTTGTTGCGAGTGTTGATCTCGTTCAGTATCTTGACTCCTTCCTTTGCTCTCATTCAATCAATGATTTGGCACCTGCTGACCTGTCGTGAGGTGACTCAATGCTGCATCAACTCCCCTAAGTTGAAAGAACTCGGCTCTGACAAGCCTTGAACCATTATAAGTTGGCACTACTCCCACCATTTCAAACATTGTTGCTGCAAATCTTCAATTGAAATCTATGAATCATCCAACAAAGAACAACCCTTCCAATGAACAAGAAACCTTCAGTTTTCTTCATTAATATTTGATATTATTTGTTCATCTAATATATCTTCTATTTGATCTTATTGCAAAGAAAAATTAGCTGGTGGACATCTGGGAATGTGATCGCTCTTAAATTTCTGTTATTACAATCTTCAATTTTAAATTTATAAATTTATATTCGTAGGAAGAGTTTCTTGATGAATTAGTGGAAAACTAGGTTGAACACAAGGAGAGTTTTGAATACGTATAATAATTAATGATCACATTCTGATTTGTTTACTCTTTAAAATTCAGCAGCCATAAACAAAGAAACTCAATGCACGTTGAGAGAAAGATTTCTCTCAAGGTTCAACTAGCCACCTTGTAAATAAATTATATATGGCTGGTGGAGATGATTCTCCACTTCCTTCAATGATGTCGACTATTCAAAATCAAAAGGCCAAGGAGAATAGAACTTCATGAAATTTACATTACATTAACTAGGATAAAAGAGGTTCGATTACATAAAAGTCAAAGGAACAAAACGAAAATGATTTCTCCCTCTTATTCTCAATGTGGAGAGAACAGCGGCATCACGCAGGGCTGTCTTCGATTGATCCTCTTCTTGCTGTGCCAAGGGAAGAGACCCACGATTGTTGTCGGTGCTGTCACCACTGGAAGGAGGGGGAAAGGACGAGTTGGCCCACCTATTGTGTGTTGTAGGTGGCACCAAGGGAAAGAGGAGTAGGCCGTCCCCACAGTAAGAGAGGGAAGCACCAAAGGAAGAAGGAGAGGAATGAGACGGCTGATCTTGAATGAGGGTCCCAGCCAGCGGCTGGTCCTCTTTTTGGATCATATGCCCTATTGTAGGCATGCCCCTTATGCCCCTCTCAATCTGCAAAAATAACAAGTCAGTTTTACAATTTAACCTTTTTATGTTCACTAATTTTTCAATAATCCATGATGAAACTAAGAATATATGTATGCTCATGCCCCTACATGATGATTATCTATTAATCCTCTTCCCTCCAACAACTATTAATCATATATTTCTCCTCTCATTTATCTTCAGGCTCTCATCCTAGTAGAAAATAGGAAAATGATATAATTCATAACCCTTCATGTGAAAATGCATAAGTAGAATATTAAATGTGTACTCATCATATTCCTATATTACTTAGGCATTAAATAATAACCTTCTGGCCCCTTTAGTATGATGATTACTCAAATTATCAGTATGATTTCGCTCTCAAGAATTAGATTTGACGCAAATAACTCATTGAAAATATTTATTGATCTGTGATAAAGAATAAGGTCTGAAATATTAAAAATAGGACTGATTTCCCATTCAGCTAGAATGTTTACAATGTAAGCATTTGATCCAACTCGTTCAACAATTACAAAAGGCCCTACCCCTCTAGCATACAACTTCAAGACAGTCCTCATAAGAAATCAACTCGAGTGTAATCTGATCATAATGAGATCTTTATAAAATTCTTTAAATCTCTTTCATTAATCTGTTGTTCATTTATAATTTTCATAGCTAAGAGTATTACAATGATATATCTCTTCATGCATGCTTTTTATATGATTAGTAAAGACTTCAATTGAAATGAAAGTGAGATATTGTAAGGCTAGAGAACATAGATCAGCAAGTTTTCTTAGTTAGTTGCCATAGACAATTTCAAATGGTCTAAGACCAATGGTACAGTTGATGGAATTATTATTAGCAAGTTTTGCTATAGGGAGTATTTGATCCCAAGTTCCCAGATGCTCACCAATGAGATTTCTTAACAAGTTACCCAAACTATGGTTAACTATCTCGGTTTAACCACAGTTTGAGGATGTAAGTGTAGAAGATTCAAGCTTAGTGCTCATTGACATGTTTTTATAATTAGTGCATTAATGTTATGAATTACATGTATATTTGCATTAAAATGATCATCTATGCATGTGGTCATAGCTTAAAATGACTAATTCCATTTTTTAGAATGATTATATAATGTTTTAAAACCTTACAGTATTTTCTGCAGAATTCTCTGATATCTGATTCATAAAGAAATTAATTTTACAAGTCAGAATATATTTTCTAAGATTTATTTATAGGCTCTTGTGATTTTAAATAGCTTTTACCATGATTTAATGATATCTCGACATGTGTTTTAATCGTGTTCGCTCATTTTTCTACCAATCATTAACCAATGCAATCATTGTGGAACATGGCAAGGGAACAGCAGTTCTTCTATGTAGGGACAAGCCCTACCCTTGACTCTCCTAACGTCAAGCCATGTGCAGGACTAATGCTATTATTTTAAGTGTGAAGGAGACATGGCGAGAGGAAAAAATCCAAGGATTAAAACTGCAATAAATGCAGGCTGATGCCTATACACATGGTGTAACCTCATTTGATGTACACATGTTGGAGGATTAATGAAGCAAGCAAAGCAGGTAAACTTACACCTAATCACGGCCTCTCACCGGAGCTTACGAGGATGTGGAACCCTAAATGAACTTGGCGGCGGTGTGGAGGAGAGAGAGAGAGAGAGAAAGATCAACGACTTAGATTAACCCAACTTTAGATCGTGATATTTGACGAACAAAGAAGAGTCTTGGGGTAAAATTTGAAGGGCTGCTTCGTCATTATCCTCTCCCTCCATCCATGCCCTAACCCTTATGAGGGGGCGTTGCAAACCGGGGGAGGGACATCTCTATTTTTAGAGTCTCGCCCCCCAACATTTGGTTGGCCAGTAGGAAAGTGGGCTGCCAGAGATCAAGCATGTGTTCTAACTTCTTATTTAGTGAGTTCCTTCCTTTTCCTTTCATTCATCATGTTAGTTGCAAACTGCCATGGCCTAAGCAAGATGTACAAGTCCGTGAATGAATGATTATTTTGGGGAAGCGTCATTGATTGGATGTGGTCACAGCTATCATAAAGAAAATCATAAAAATTAGTTTAAGATTTCCATTTCTCATACTTATTTCGTGGGACATCAAACCATCATACCATATTTTCATATCCCACTCTAGATCAAGCGAATCTTGATCTTAGAAACAAGATAAGATCATCAAGATCATGTCTCATTTCTTCTCTATCTCCTAACCTATTTGCCTCTTTCTTCAACCTGAATTTCCTCACTATCTTCTTAAAAAGAATATTAGAATTCAGATTTCCACCATTCCTCCCTATGGATTCGACCCTTACTTACACTATACCTGTATTGAGTGATTAAGGTGAATTATAAGTATTATTGCATAAGTCTAAAAAGCAAAACAATGACATAATTCCTTACTTACACCATACATGTATTGAGTGATTAAGGTGAATTATATGTATTATTGCATAAGTCTAAAAAGCAAAACAATGACATAATTCCTTACAATTTTCAGACTTATCTCCCATCATAAACGAAAGTATTTTTCAAAAGTAACTTATAAATTTCGAGTCCCTATCCAAGGTGAGGGTTTGGGGAAGGCCATGTAATTTAACAACTTCATTAAAATATAATCTACAAATTTTTGAAGCATCAAAGTTTTTGAAGATAGAAGGAAGTGAGCCATCTTACAAAATCTATTGACGATAATGAAACTTGAATCATTTTTCTTTATGGTTCATGACAAGCCCACAAAATCTATGTTGACATCTTTCCGTGGACAATGTGGAATAAGTAGAGGCAAGTACAACCTTGTATTTTGTTTTAGAAATTTAACTAAAGCACAAACACAACATTGAGACACTATCTTAGCCATGTCCTTTCTAAGCGTTAGCTAGAAGAATAAATATGGATAGTCTTATCTCTTTCAAAATGATCAGCTAATCCTCCAACATGTAATTCCTAAACTAGGAAATCCTTAATAAATGCTTGTGGAATGTACAATCAATTATTCTTGTAGAGATTTCCATCATGAATTAAGTAACATTAGTATTCTAATGATGGTCCTTGAGTAAGGTTTGAATAAACTTCAACAAAATTGGGATAATCAAAATACATATTTTTCATGTGATTGAACCCCATCATTTGTGGTGTTAATAAACTCAGCAAAGTAATTGATGTGCACTTGCCGTTGTGTTTAAATGTACATTATATAATAATATTTATAACTAAGACTTAATAAAATATTAGTATAGAAGTAAGTCTCAAATCGAACACAAAGAGATTGATTAATCTGTCGTGAAAATTAATTTAATTTATATATAAAGTGATTTTAATATTTTATCCATATTTAATAAAAATATTAAAATACAAGGGTGAGGTGAGAAGAATAAAGGTAGGAAAGTAGAGAAAGGAAGGAGAAAAAGAGATAGAAGAGAGAGAGCTCTCTTGAAGGACGAGAGAAGAGATCTCTCACAAAAGAGAGAGAAAGAGAGAGAAGGAAATCTCATGTGAGATATAGAGAGAGAAAAGTCTCATGAGAGAGAGAGAGAAAGAGAGAGGGAGATCGATTGAGAGAGAGGAAGAGAAAGGGAGAGATTCTCACAAGAAATGGAGAGAGAAGAGAAAAATAAGATGAAAAAGAAGAAAGAGAGTGACCATTATTTTATGGTGACCATTATTCTCGGAAGAATGTGTGCTTGAGAATTCACACACATGACATGTGGTCAGCATAGATGTCTCCACATTGTTTTAACAGTTCAATGATTATTAAGTAGCCTTTAATCTCGCTGATTTTACGTTCAAAAATAAAAGAATAATTGTTATTTGTAGAACATCGAGAACATGAATACATTAAGATTTGACTACAAAAATCAATAGAATAGAAACGATCTTAGCTTAATCTCAAATGAGTTTCAATCATAAGAAGAACGAAGATCATTCATCAAATTTTGAATTAGTTCTACTCATGTCAATCAAAACATGTATGAAATAGAAATAACTTTCCGTAAAATGTAAATAAATGACAAAATTAGGTAAGTAAATACTTAAAGTAGGAAATAAATTGTTGCTCAAGTTTAGTTTACTTCTTGGGCAATTGAAGACACTAGTGTGGTAGCTTGGTTTCATCCAGATGTGTCACATCACATTGAAAGTTGTAGAAGTATTGTTTGAAAGCACTGCGCCACTTGCTGGAGAGATCCGCTAAAAGAGGGGTCAACCACGCTGTCACCATCATCTAGGGGGAGAGGGGAAGAGCTGATTACTCTTTAGAGGCTTTGGGTACAATTGGGGGAGGAAGGAACAAACTTGCCAATTGTCGGAGGTGTTGATCATGCAAAAGGAGGGAGGAAATGAATTGTTGTATTTACGACACTGTTATAATTTTGAAGATAATCAATAATATTTATTTTACTAGACAATAATTGATTATTATCTTTATATCCCTAACAATGAGACATGCTAGAGCTTAAGTTCTTGGTATCCTAGCACTTCGCAAGCCACTAGATTAGATGTGCTTGGTCACATGACACATTAAGCAACGCAGGATTGACGTGACTTAATCGTTATATAATAAATCACGCAAATTTAAAATTTATAAAATTAGAAAATACTAATTTTTAGATATTTAGAAGTATTTTTTAACAAATATATCAATTATAATTCAATAAAACTTCTAAAAATAGTGGTAATTTTCTAGGTCAATCACAAGGATGTAATATAATATTGGATAATTATTCAGAATTTTCCTCAAAGAATATTATTTTCTATAAATTTTACACTAAGAAATAAAAATAAAATATATTTAAAATTCACGGAAAAGAGAAATAAGGGTGCGGACGTCAAGACGACGTTAGCGCCTGGCGAACGCGAATTAGATAGAAATAGAATTTTATCTGACAATTCTTACGTATGCGATTACAGACAATTTAATTGATTAAATTAAGATCTGTAAAAGCCGAAAGAATCTTAATTGAATGAAGTATATCTTGGTAAATTTAAATCACATAAATTATCACTAAATGAAGTAGAAATAAAGTTAAAAGTAGGAAAATAGAGTTCCGGCGTCACAGCGGTATGCATCTGTGATGTGTCTGTGATGCACTGAAATCCTAAGCATTCAAGAAGATCATCGTGTAGTGTCTACAACCTCGAAGGTTCTCCTTAGACAAAGACAACGTAGGCAATCTCTAGATCTCCTTGCAAAGTCTAGAGATCAATGAAATAGGTCATCGAATTATCTCCCGCCGTTGTCACCTGACAAAGTGGAAAAATGATGACTTTGCCACTCTCTGGCGGCTGTCACCCAACAAAGACGAGTTGGATGAAGGTGGGGCGCGTGTTAGGGAACTTCATCCTCAGGTCCACGCAGCAAGAGGAGGCTCTTCATTGCATCCAGTACGCTCTCAGGAGGTGGCGACTCATCTCCTAGCGGATCCTCTTCTTCCCGACGACGGCTTGTTCATCAATCAATCAGAGATGATTTACTCGATGGATTCGCAATCCTTTAATTACAAATCTTTCAACAATTTTAGTAACAATACTCCGCAAATCGTGTTGACGAGATTTTCATCAATGATCTAGCGATTTTGGCAACTTAATCTTTCATCGGTGATCAAAAAAGTTGTGATAATTAGATAAAAATATGAGTTTTGGCTCTAGGAGGATTTGAACCCATACCGATTGCCCATTTGTATGAGAGAGATTGAAATAAGTACTCTAATGCCCTTATCAAGTGACATCATCATGATATATTTCTATTATAAATAAGAGATATTTTAAGTATTAAAATTATCAAAGCCTTTTGAGGGAAGGTGTGACGTGGGTTTAGTCCCACATCGCTTGTGTGTCGAAGTTTCGGGTGAATATATAGTAATATTACATTTTCAAGTAATAAGTCCTTTTCTCCTACATGTACAACCACTCCTAGTCCCACAGTCGACTAGCTATTAGTGATGTGGAAGGGGAGTGGCGCACACGTGCCCCCATCAGTCTTACCCGCTCGAGCCCCTACTCGCAACTCCTCCCTAATTGCACTTCTGACCTGCTTGCAGGCCCCAACTGGCTGGCAAGTCCCACCCATTTTGTTATATTTTTATTTTTATTTTTTTTTCTTTATTTATCTCAAAAATAAGACTATAAAATTATATAAATTTGTAGAAAATCATATAATTAGCCAAAAAATCACATTAATTAATTAAAAACCACTTTTCACATTTTAACACAAATATAAGTCTATTTATTATGAGTTAAGACTAAAAATATATTATTTACTAATTATTAACTCATTATAATGAAGACTTATCAAGGATCAATCTGCCAAGAACTACTACCGACTAGGAAGTTAAGTTCTAAGTACCATGGTATCTTGTTAGTTGTCGGATCATCCTTTATGACCACATGTGTGTTGAGCAGCGTTGGACTCACAAAGCACTAATAGATTGCTTAAGATTTTTGAGATTGTGCCTGTTTGTTAGTCATAAGATTTGGCTAATTTGATGATGTGGCTTGCTGAACATCACTAGATCATTCTGAGCTCCAAATGACTACTTGAAACACATGAAAATGTTTAGTCCCACATCGGAAATATTTTGGTGCATGAGTCAAAGATAAATCAAAGTTACAACCTTTCATCAAAGATCTCTTCTCTTGAAATAAAATAATGCCTAGGATCATCTTGAGAGAAGGCAAAAAGATGGTCCACCCTTGCGCGCACATGTATGTACTGATGCTCCTTGCTCCAAAACTGGTTGGCCACTAGGACTTGGTAGGGGAGTGATGCACACATGTGTAGAGCGAGTCCTTCGCTACTCGAGCCCAGCTCGTGGCTCCCCTAGTTTGGGTCTACTCCCTCGATTGTAGCACCCCTCTAGATTAGTTACCGAGTACCGGCTTGCCAGCTAACATAATATTTTTTATATTTAATTCTTTAATATTTTTAAATAGTAAAAAAATGTGGTAAGTATTTTAACTTGACTTCTAAAATTAACAATATATCCTATATTTATTCTACAAGTTAACAAGATAAAATAAAATAAAATAATATAATATAACTAATTAAAACACAAAAATCTTAATGCATCAGCTATCTTATTTTTCACACCTTGATTTTTAGTTAAGGGGAAATGAATAAGTTTGTATAAATTCAACCCAATGTCAATGTCTAGCATTGAGTTTTTACTATGATTGTAAGAACTTAAGAGCTTCATGATCTGAATAAAGAATGAATTCTTGAGGTAATAAATAATGATGCTAATATCTAAGAGCTTGGACCACCGTATATAGTTCTGTATCATAAGTTGAATATTTTTTTCTACCTTCATTGTGTTTCTCACTAAAATAGGTTATGAGATGACCCTCTTGACTAAGCACCCCTCCTATTCTTGTTCTTGACACAATAGAGGCCACTTCAAAAAGTTTAGAAAAAATCAAGCAGCCTACGAACAAGACCTTTAGTCAGTTGTTATTTTAAATAATTAAAGGCTTTAGATGCCTCTTCCATCCATTGGAACTAACTTTCATACCATTTGTTATTGGGGCCATGATTGTGCTGAAATTTTAAATAAAACATTGATGGAAAGAGCCTAAGCAATGAAAGATGGGATCCTCATGAGCAACCCAAGCTAGGACGACAAGATCTAAAAAACGTCAATGTAGGACACTGATCATAAAACTTCACTGCCTTCCTCTGACTCTTGTGTTGCTCTTACATGTTTTCAAAAAAATCAAATTAACCTAGTAATAAAGATAGTTGCTCTTTTTAGTGCCTATATGATGCTGTTGAGGACGAGAGGTGCACTGAAATCATTCTCCCGATGATGAAGCCACATCACTACTATTCTCCTCACTATGCTGTTCTGTTGACACAGTTTTGTTCAGAGCATTGATCCCATTCAGTTTCTTGACTTGTTCATTCACTCTCATGCAGTTGCTCATTAGGCGCCTGCTGACCTGTCGTGATGCAATTCAATGCTGCATCAAAGACTGAACGAACGAAAAGTGTATGCACTACTAATCAATGTTAATGTCAAAGCCATGGTTCTTGGGCTCCCGGTACTCCGGACAGAGAGCACACCCCTCCCAGCAGAAGTGGACAATGAAGTCCGGGCATGGTGACTCCGGCAGGGAGTAGTATCTTCTCAGCCTTCTTCGGTAGAAGCATGAGTATATGCAGGTGCACCCTATCAGGCAGTCGACCATCACGTATGGTGCTCCATCTGCCCCACAGGCTGAGGAATTCTGATGTAGGACGGGCTTGTAAACCCGCCCTGACAACTAAATGTGGGTGAGATAATAAGGGAAGGGAACCCTATATACCAAAGTAATGCTAACCAAGGACTCTAGATGATGAGTGCCGAACTCAACTAAGTGCAAGTAGTAACCGAAATATCATGACACCGACAATCCATCACTACTAGGTGTTGCCAGGTGATTCTGATGCAGGGTGATCCTCCAAGTTCACGTCCGGAGGTCGAAGACTTAATATCGTCGACGGGACTCAATGGCGAGTGCTCAATGACCAATGTGACAATTCTGGCACATGAGTCAAAGTCGCACGGTGGAGACACCTAACTCATTCTAACCTAGCTAGGTCCGACGGCGGTGGAGCAAGTGCAAGATGATACTGAACGTAGGAAATGACTTGGAGGGAAGGGTATACGAGCTAACCTGCAGGGCAGAGGCCCAGTCGGTGTGCAGTAGGGTCTCCTGCTGACACCGTGGACAGGCGTTCCGGTGGTTTGGCACTCTCTAAGAGGGGGTTGGGGTGAATCAACGACCCCCCCTGGTGGATATCGGCTGGGCTCGGCTAGGCTCAGTTGTATGGGCTCGGACAGGGTCGGAGGAAGGGGCACAACCAAGTGGCTCGGGGGCTCAGGTAGGCGCCCTAGGTCAGGCGCAATGGCGAGCTCCGAGGGGCAGGTGCGGTGGCACAAGGGCGAGTATGCAGCGCGCACGTGGAGGTGCCGTGACAGTCGCGAGACGAACGCACGTTTGGGTGCGCGGCGGGCGCGTGCAGCAAGCGGATGCACGGGGTTGGCGCACTAGCGGAGGCACAGTGGGTGCTGATAATCCGGTAGAGGTGTCAGCGTCCTGGCGGCGGCTCGGTGGGCTGCTGACGGCCAGGAAGCAGCAGCGGCGACCTGGTGGTGATCCCCTTCTTCTTTTGTCCTCTTGGAACGATATTCTCATCCAAAACACACTTTCTCCTAAAGATGACGGCTCTCCCTTGGGGGTGGCTCTCCACCCCTGATATAGAGCCCCAAATGGGCCAAGGGTGGAGGGCCACGCTTGAGGCCTAAGATGCCAAAGCGTCAAAAAAAGGAAAACAGAGAGTCCAAAATGGGCCCTCCTCTCCAATTGGGCCCAAATGAGAATGGCTCAAAAGAGAAGGGAGGCGAGGAAAAAGAAGGACGCCCTCTTCTCCAATTGGGCCTAAACACATATGGCCTGACAGGAGTAAAGAGGAAAGAAAAGAAAACAAAGGCAAATGGGCCTTCCCATCCCCGCCATGGACCCAACACGGACCCTATGGACGGGGGGGTCCCCCCACACAGAGCAATACTAGAACCCATACAGTTCACGGACAAGGGAAATGAGCGAAGGGAAACATAAGATGTGGAAAACATAAAGGCACCTCAGGCTGTATAGTGGAACCCGGGGTCCTTCGTCTTCGCTCGTGTTCCTCGATCCGGCTGGATACGTGAGTGTGGGGTCTCCTCTGTCGCCTCGAGCTCGTGCAGTAGTGGAGACAGGTCCTGTTCGACACCAAATTCTGACGGCATCAGAAAGGAAGGTTTGGAGTAAGGAACACTCACAAGTAGAACCACAGTCAATGATCTTGGTGGCCTGGAAAAAGGTAATGCAGGGGCACCAGCAGGTGATGCAGCTTGGAATAAGATGGCATTGAGAAATGGGTAATGATAAAATTGTCCTCCGTACTTGTCTCATTCCATGGTGTTCCTCTGTCTAGTTTACTTTCATCAGGAATATGAAAGAGAGGGGGCCTTACAGTTCCCAATGTTGTTGAAGCATTCACACAGTCTAGTGGACCAATCTGCCAGGGCCGATGCTGGTGGGGCATGGATCCTAGCCCCACCATCAGCGACCACAACGTCATTGGACTCTACGTCACCTCCTTCAAAGACCCCGCAAACTATCGAGGCCACTCCACGTCGCCGCCGGCAGACCCAAGCTCCGGATCCGAACTTCTGTTACTATTAGGATTTACCCATATTTTTAATTTCCTTTTATTTACTTTAGGTTATAATCCTCTCTCTCCTCCCGAGGCCTATAAGAATTTTCTATTGAACGGCGGTTTTGATCTAAATAAGAATTTTCCTATATGAGGGATCAGTGTGACCGCTGCTGCCTGTAGCCGCCTCCATCGTGTAGGTCCCCCCCCCTCCCACCCTGTGGTCAACCCTCTTTGTCGTCGCCGGCGGGTCTCTCTGTCAGCGCTCGTGTGCCCGACGACGTGCCGATCAGCGTCCCTCGGAGCACCGGAAGCGCGTCACGTACGAGCCTCCCACAGGCACTCACACGTCCCGTGCATCCTGCTCAAGCGCTCGTGTGTCCCGCGCCTGGCGGATGCGCCACGGCGACTCACCCTACACACCAGCCTTCCACCTACACGTCAGCCGTGCACACCCTGCGCACCCTACTCCGTCCAACATCGGATTTAGGTTTCGGGGTGATGCCCCAAACCCCGCAAGGGGGACCCTCGAGGTCAACATTGCGGCGTGCAAACACCGAAGGTCCCCTCTCAACCCTCTCTGGTGATCGTGTGTTTTAATTTCATCCTGTCTTTCGTCATAAGTGTTTCCACCACCATCAGATTCATTAGTGTGGGCTCGAGACCAGCCGAGTGGGCTGCGATTTCCTTATTTGGAGGCCGACTAAGATTTTGAAACATGAAGCTTTGTTTTATCACGATGACCTGAGACAGTCTTCCCACCCTCGATCGAGGAACGGAACAGTCTTTTCACATCATCACAGTTAATTTTCAAAGGTTCGGATCTGATCGTGTGCGAATTTTGTGGCTTGTTATTTACTCGTTGTCTTCCCTACTCATTCCATCCACGTCAGGCATATTCATCCTACATCAGACGCTTTTGGCGTCCACATGCAGCGGTAGTGGATTCACAGAGATGCCTACTGGTGGCACTGGTTGGTAGGCTTCTGCCTTGTTCCCAAGAGCATACATGGCAAATGAAATCACTCCACATACCCCCGCGGCAGCTTTGGCGAGCAAGGGAGACAGTATATGCAGAGTGGAAGTGGATTCGGGTTCATATTTGATGGCCGGTTGAGTGTCGCAGTAATCACGCTAAAGACCGATTCTTACAACTCTTTTAACAGGAAATATTACCCATTCTTCATTCATTCTTCCACGAACCAAGAAGTGGATAAAAAGTCAAATTGAGCAAAATCATTTTTTAACTAGTGGAGACCACCCATTTGCTGCACTTAATATCATTTTCAGTACTTTGCATATTTGTAAGTCATAGCGAAAAGATGAAATGTGGCATCACATATGTCTCACGATGGTAGGTATTCAAGTTACTCGCTAACTCTACATAGACACTCCATTAGTTTATCTCTTATGAGTATGATTTGTGCAAGCAATAAGGACTAAATTAATCTTACGATATATTTATGGCATATCAATGGGTCATTTGACTTTCACACCCTAGATACTCTTTGAGTAACACAAACAAAGAATCATATCATCAGTCTATTAGAGACCATTACCTCTGACCGCATCTAAGGACACCAACCAGAACAGTGGAAACAGAATCTAAGGACACTAGTGTTATAAGTCATGATTGTTGACTTAATTCTTAAAAATATCATGAAAATGGACTGATTTAGTGAAGATGTTGAGTCTAACCCATTAAAATACAAACTTGTTGGTAGAGAGTGGTTTCATGAAATAATCAAACTTTCATATGCGTATCAGCTACAGTCTACTACGGAAAATGAAAATCAATCGCTACATGTTTATAAAGGCATAGGAGATAGACATAAATAGCAACTTTATCCTTAAGCACATCAACTAAACAATATATTTTCAAAGCCTTCCATACCTAAGCTATTTCCTTGAGTGGTGGTGAATTGATTATCACATGCTATGCTATATTAAAATTGTCTGAAGAATATTTCACAATGCTAACACACACACCTTTTTTTTTAAAAAAAATTAGTAAGAAATTCATTTTTTCATACCCATGAAAAAGTTTTCACAATGATTAAAAGTTAGAGTATAGACTTATGTATTTCTCATAATAGACTATTTTGATACAAGTAAGCATTCGGAAGAATCATCGGGTTCATGTCATAAGTGATGGGTGGTTCTCTATTACTTACTCTAAATGGGAATTGTGTTTCATATTTTTTTCAATTATATTTAATAGTGCAATCTTATTTACATGTGTCCTAAACGTAGTTGAACTGAAAAACATAAGTACACTTTGTTATAAGACAAGGTTAACAAGAAATAACAAGTCAAAAAAATTGAATCTAGATTGTAAAGAATGATCCAAGAATTCATTTTAAAGGATACCATTCTTAAAATACTTTTCAAGGATAGGATAGCCAATTGTATAGTTGTATACTCCCTTTTCAGACATAGGATATAATCAAAATAAAATTTTTGTCAATACTAAAACCAGTTTTCAAAGAAATAAGCAATTGAAGAATCTCAACATTTTAAGACAAGGCAGAAATATTCCAGAATTTTAGAAAAAACAACTTGTGAAATTTTAGAAAAATAAAAATAATGATATTTTTGCTAAACTAGAAAACTAATGAACATTTTAAAATTATAATATCAATAAATTAGAATTTTAAAATATTTCAATTAACAGAAGAAAAGTTACTAAACTATCAAGAATCTTAATGAGAACAAGGCTTCCACTTGACACCTCTAATCCACATTTCAACACCTTCTAGATAACTCACACATTAGAGAGTCAGCAATAGACTCTTATCTACTTCTATAAGAACTTCATCTACAAGAAAAGAAAGAAGAGAGACTAAGGAAAAGGACGAGAGTTGAAAAAAAAAAAGGATAGAATAAAAAGAAGGATAAATCTCGTCATCCTTCATACCCAAAATGAGGAAAAAAATAGGAAAAAATAACTGTCCCCTAAAAGGAGGCATCTTGATCTACATGCAAGTGAGCCCATAGATCTTTGAGGTAACGGCTTCAACCTCTCTCATTTCCCATTCCCTCTCTCCCTACACAACCCCCAAATGGGTCAAAAAGGATGAGGTGACAATCATCTCTCACTCCTCCTATGTTTCTCAAGCGAGTCAGATGAGAGAGGCTCTTCACACGTCTCCCGAATGATTGAGACAGAAGGTGGCTCCTTGCATGTCTCCTGAATGGGTCAGCCATGATTGACTAATACCACCAACATGCAAAAACTAGAATATCAAAAATAACCTTGTGTTAATCACCGTTAATGTAGTCCCTAGTAGTCGTAGTTAACATCGAGTATGAAATCGAGATTACTCCTGCAAGATATTAGCCGTTTTCGAACTTGAAAGGCCTATCCATGGTCTATCACGAAAGCCTACTTTGAGGAGCAGATTGAGCTGTTTTAAGTCCTCTTCTTAGACAAGTTGACAAATGAAAGCTCGCCTAATGGAACCTATTTTATTGGTCAATAGGGCCTGGCCCAAGCCCTCTTTCTTAGAGGATCGGTCCATGTGACAACTCTGCGAAGAATATTCTGCAACTATTTGACTTTTCATAGTTAACCCAATTCAAGCAGCTTTTGGGTAATAAGTGAAGTTCCTAATGGTTTAATAAAATTCATACATGGTTTTTCATGCACACTAGTACTAAAGCAATGCCCTCTTCTCAATTTTATAGAGTTTACATTGTTCCTTGGATTCTGGAGGAATGACTTTGTTAGGATTGTAGAATTGTTGTGCTTCTTCCTGAATCAACTCCATTCTCCTGTCGAGAGTCACTTTGAAAGTCTAACCTAAACTCTTTCGACTGAATATGAAAAAGCCTATAAAACAATGAGCTACTAAGTGGTCTGGCATAGAACCTCCCTTGACAGTTCACTAATCTAGTACTTGGTGATTTCTACATGAAATCAGCAAGCACCTCTAGTACCACAAGGGCAACCAAGTGATTGTGACTCTTGATTGAAGATGGAATGGAGTAGCATGGAATGAAGGAATTTGAGGGTTTTCTTGGGCATTTTTTTATTTTTTCTTGACTAGGCCATTATCATTACAACGTTCCACAGCAGAAGCAAGCTATTTGTCCCTTTTGACAAACCTCAGACAAGAAAAAGTTGGATCTTTTGAACCTAATTCTCTTCACTAAAAGTTTTAGTTTACTAAAGTTTAATCTGTATATTTTTTTACAGAAAATTGAGATTTCATACTAAGAATATTGACTTGATTAATAATTTTACTTTTACCCTTTAAAACAATTGATTTTTGGTACCAAAGCCAAAATTCTCTTTAGAGAGACACCTAATTGTAGAAGATATTGATTGCGTATCTGTGAAAATATATACTAAGACCCCATCTCCATGCCTCTGTCTCAAGTAGAAGCATGCATATCGAGAGCTGGGCTGGACTAATCTAGACCTGGCTCACACTTGTGGGGGTCTGGTCTCAAGATCGTAATTCATTCATATACAAATAACCATTGTATACTTGTTGCAAGATGATCCTTGTTGCATCCATCGTTTTCAGTTGGGGCTTGGCTGAAAATATGTGGATGATGGTTGCCATTGAGAGGTTTCAGGGCCTATGTTATGTGCTAGGCTTAATATCAACATCTACAATTACTTCAGTTAACTTACCACAAATAACTGTAATAGTTTCCTAAGATGATGGTCTCAATGGCAGCATTAGTAGTTATAACATCATCTCTGCGAATCAAATTTCCAGCATGAAACACTTTTTCCGTATAGACTAGAGCGCTAGTTTAAGAACTGATTCCCAATTCAATGCAGCTTAAGTTGAATTCTAATTAGAATAAGCCTGAATTCTGAGAGCTCAAGAAAAATATGTGGGAATGCTAACATATAATCCTTTTAAATAACCTTTTAAGTATCTTTTTTAATAACATGTTAATTTTAGCAATTTCATATGATATGTTACAAAGGGAAACTGCAATCAGAGTTATCTAGAAAAAAATAATAGATAATAATAAATCATGCCGTACATTAAATATTAATAGAAATGGAAGGTAAGATTGACGAATAGGAAGATTACGCTGCTTATTTTATGTTCCGCCAAATAGTGCAAACACGCAAACACGTCAAAAGTTTATTTGCGGGAGCGTTAATTCTGACCTAATGTGAGGACAGCAACCACTCCACTGGACACAGGAGCTACGGCGCAATATCCAGCAAAGCTGTATTTAGAGAGCATGGAGAGAATCAACGCCGCATGCTTTCCGCCACCGGTGGTGGCTGCATCAATCCCTCAGAAGACATCTTTACGTTCGCATGCCATCCTGCGGACGGAAACTCTACGCTGTCAACACGGAGAGAGGAGAGAGAAACAAAAAGATGCATTTATCTAGATATATATTTATTGAGAGAGTGAGATGGAGAGAACCACGGATAGATTACGAGGGGGAGAAACCCAGGAGGACTCACCAAGCGCCATGTTGAAGCCACGGTTCTTGAGTTCCCTATGCTCCTGGCAGAGGGCGCACAACTCGCAACAGCAGTGGACCACGAAGTTCGGGCAGGTCCCCTTCTGCAGGGAGTAGTCCCTCCTCAGCCTGGTCCGGTAGTAGGATCCGAGCAGGCAACTGCATCCCGTCATGTACCTAAGAATCGCGTATGTCGCCCCACTCGTCCCGCAGGCTGACCAATTTGTTGGCCGCAAAAGAGAGACGACGACTTCAATCATAGGACTATAACCAGTACAAGTCAAGTCTGTGACTATGAGGATCAGCTTTCCCACAAATTCTTGTATGACAACTAACCAAGAATTTATTTTCAAAAATTTCTTCTATCTCACAGGTTGGGATTTAAGTTGAATAATACGGGACTCTTAAAATAAGATTGAACTGCAGATTACTGCACTATATTTATTGTTTGTCGTCTACTTAGCCCGGCTTCTGGTTAGATAAAACAGGAGGAACTCACATGTTGACCCGCGGTCGACGATCTCGGCGATGCGGCCGAAGGTAACACAGGGGCAGCACCAAGTCAAGAAACCTGAAGGCGAGAGATCACCAGAAACGCTGAAGGTGAACAGTTAGTCATCCCTGAGGTTCCTCTTTCTCGTTGCTCTGGAGGAGGGCATGGGAGGGCTTACAGAGGCCTACGTCGTCGAAGCAGCTGCAGAGTCCGGTAGACCATCCTTGAGTGTCCATCTCCTGCGGCAGAGGGGGAGTAGGTTCCTGGAACTCGATCTGCTTGGGGGCTGGAACACCAATCGCCGGCGCCTGTGGGACCAGGGTATAGGCATCTTCATTTTTGCCACAGGGATGCATACTGGGGGCAGCGCACGCAAGAGAGAAAAAGAGATTGGGATAGCGGGGGGGGTGAAGGTGTGAGAGATAGAAGGAGCAAGAGAGAGGTAGTCACGCAACTGATTACTGAGTGGGCGGAAAAAGATTTGGATCTGAAGATATAGAGAGGAAACAAGATTGAAAGGTGAGATGTAAGTGGGCTGGAGAGAAGGGGAGAAGAGCACGACCCGGTGCATTGGATAAAAAGGTAAGGAAGGAAAAAGGGGGAAAGAAATCAATATCTGCATTATAAAAAGGAAGGCGACAGCATGAGAGAGGAGAGGAAGAGCTTGTGTGTGAGTGTGTAGAGTGTCTGTACTTGAGGCAGAGAGAGTCGCACGCGCGAATGAACAGGGGAGCAGTAGATATCACATGAAGTAACAGAAAGGTAACAAAGGTCGGTGAAACCATTTCCATGACGAATTTTGCGTCCTCGGTGAAGGTTTACAAGATTGTGGCAAAGCCTGAAAAAATCAGGCAATATATCATAACCCAGTGAACTAAGCTATGCAGCATCGTAGCTCGTTAGCGATCAAGTCCGGACTACGGTCACAAAATGTTCATTTCCTCTGTTTCACCGAAGCCTATCTTACGGTCAGTTGCTTGATCAATCGGGCTGGACTTTACCCCAACCTCGTAAGGCCTGACTGGCGAGAAAGCCCGATGGCATGACAACCACAGCAAACCATCCCTGGACTGAGTCAGCAAACAATAGGAATTGCCGTGGTGTAAAGGGAATCTGACATCATTTTTAAATGTGAAAGTCTTGTGTTTAATCGTGGTGAAGTATCAAAGCATAACTGGGATTAAGATCTTTTACCAAAGTGTGAATTAAATATTGTTTTATATATTAAATATGTAGCTTGTAAATAGATGGTGAGTCAACATGATTTTTTCTCTGTTGATCATGAAAATCAAACCAAAGAAACTGAGAGGGGCTGATAACCCATTTAGTAGGTTGATGATTGTCAATTTTTTTAGCTAGATCATGTTCAAGGACATCTTTGTGAAGCATGAAATTTTTATCCTTTTATGTACTTGATATGAATTGTGAAATGATGCTGTATAAATAGTCGTACATCATACATATAGATGGTTAAAATGTTTTGCATTTATGAGAAATTAGCTTTTAAATTTATACAGTAGTAAAGATAATAGTGTAATAGGAAGTATGATCAATGTGATTATCACACCAAATTGATTTTAATCTCATTTCCTATTTTTACTCCAAAACTAGGCTAGATAGAACACAAAAAGAGTGTGTTAACTCTTCAAAATATTTATTATTTTTCAATAATTTCAAACATTTTTTTATCATGTGTTTAAACATGAGTTGAAGAAAGTTGGTTTCACCTAATTTGATCTACATATTTAATATCAAAGTGAAATGAACATAATTATGTATTGCTTGGGTTTCTTTAGCCTCTTTCAACTTATCAAAGATCCTTACCTTCTGTGTTCACAATTGTACGTTAGTGAACTACAACGGGAATTTACAGAATCAACAAATCTCATTTCACAATAGATTCCATGAGTTTATCTCCCAACACAACATATATTAAAACACTCACTAGCTTATCTTTCTCTCTCTTGGTACCTCCACTCTGTTTTAAAAGTAATGATATGAGGCTTACTAATCCATCTCAAAGTTAAATGTATAAACTGATAATACACATACATTCATGCTTTGATGTATCTAAACTGTAGGATTTCACATATATACTTGATAAAAATCATACATGTTATCACTTAAATCATTCATTTTGTGTAATCTATACATAATTGCTTAAGTCACAAGTTTACACATTTTTTAGCATATCTATAGATTAATGTTGTTGAACTTTGTGAAGTTTAACAACTCAATTCTATTGATTATTCTCTAAGCTTGCATGTGCAGAGTATTAAGCCTCTATTGGGAAGAAAAGAGACAAAATCTCAAAGTCTAGGCAAAGAAGAATTGGACAAAAGATAAACCCAAGGACTTAAAAGACGTGCCCATAAGTCAATGGGCCTACCAAGGTCAGACCAACAGAGCACTAGCTGAAGCTTGGAGCTCAATGTGGATCTTCGTGAGCCCAGCCAAGGTCCAGCTGGTGCCAAGGATGTGGATGCATATTTTCATGAAGTCTAAATGAAGTTCATGTAGAGTCAAGGCTCAAAAAGACAGTTAGGGTCCAGCTGAAGCCAAGGCCCAAACATGCAGCCCAAAGCCCAACTACAAGGAGCTCTACTGCAGCCCAAGGCCTAATCCTGCTAGCTGAAGAGATAAGCTTCAAATTGCTGACCAATAGAAGAAGAGGAGTAGGGAGGTGCTGGCACCCAGTCTTGAAATATGCAGACCCTAAATGCCCTTGTAAATTACTTTAATAGTAGACACAAAGGGAGGTCATTTGTTGAATGTAAGAGGGTAAATTAGTAACTAAAAGGGGGTATTTAATGTCTTGTGTCCCCGCCTGTGGAGGCACTCTTCAATGGTTTCAGACTAGAGCTGGTCGTAGGACAAGACCCCAAGAGTCCCTCTTCTATTATGCAGGTATGAACAAATTTATTTTGTCCATTTTTTATGTGATGGAAGAGGTTAGCAAGGAGGAAGGAAGAAAAGTGGCCTAAAAGAGAAGATGCACCTACCTGTAGATGATTAGAGCCCTCGATTGGCGAGATAGACCCTAGGGTAGGTGTGGGATTCTCTTGTGCATTCATTATCCCATTAACTCCGAAATTAGGTAGGTTAGTTTTAAGAGGGAGCGAGAGAAAGAGGCTTGCCAAGAGAGAGAGCACCTACTGGCCATTGATTAGAGCCTTGGGTTGGCGACGCAAATCCTAAGGTAAGTGCTGTTCTTCAAAGCTTTCACACCCCCTATCTTAGTCCCTGCATAAATAAGTTAGCATTTAATATTCTATGTAGTTTAGAAGCCACATTTGCACAACCAAACCAATTACATTCTTCCAAGTGTCTTACCCCTAAGGTGTAAGATACTTCCTCTCCCTTCATTCATCTCTCTCTCTCCTCAATCCTCTAGAATTTAAATTTTCACCTCAACCTAATCCCATTTCCTGTGGATATGACCCTAGCTCACTACTTTCTATGTAATCAATCAAGAGTTAAACTTCTAAATATTTTTGATTATGCTCTAGTTAGGATTCACAACACCCTAAATTTAGAGTTAACACTTATCATCTCACCCCCATTCATCATTAGGAATCAACTCTCAACCCTATTTTAAAGCCCAATCTTAGTGGATATGACCCTAACTGATCACATATACTCAAAATTAATTAGAAGTTAGGTTTATAAATGTTTTGATTAATACCAACTTAAAGGCCTATGACACCTTTAATTTGAGATTATCGGCAGGCACCCCACTAGTCTACTTTTGTACCTTTGTGGGCCATCTTATACATAGATTAAAGATATTGAATTCAAGATCAAAAAAAACAGATATAATTGTCTATGGAATCTAATATTTACATAGTCATGTCAATTTTATCATAACAGTACATATGGATACAAATCCCCTAATTGGCAAGTTTATTTGCCATTATAGGGTCAATAGGCTGTGCCATGTTGTGGCACTTTGTTAACAAAGTATTGTCCTTGTCTAAGCACAAAAGAAAGCTAGAAAGTAGTTCATTCACCAATTGCATCTGAAAGAGAGATGGAAAAAGAGACAACAATGGATAGGGACAGTGGGAGAGAGAGAGAGAGAGTGATGCAAGATGAGATGTTGAAATGACTAAACTACCCTAGATAAATAATTTAGATGACTCGTTTCTAAAGATTAAAATGGTTGACTAAGGTAAGATCAAGTGATTTTCTACAAGATTTGAAACATATGGATTGATGCAATTAATAAATAACCAATGATTAGGGTGGGTCATTATCAATAAATTAAGAAGTGAAAATTAGTTGGTCCATTCTCTACTCTCACCACAAGCTATATATGAGAGTGTCCTATCTACATATGACACAACAACAATATTTGCGAGATAATATACTGAATAAAGAAAACACTCAAATTCAGAAAGAAAAGAGGACTTATAAGGAACCTTCTCGCCAGAAAGGGCAATGGGGTGGTGGAGGAGCATAAGTTGAAGTTGGAACCTACTTGTGAATAGTTGACCTGATGTCAACCGTTGACCAGCTGACTTGATTGAATGGGTGGACTGTAACTCAAACCAAATGAGCTAGCTAGTGCAGACAAGGCAGTTCAAATGGTCAGACCAGCGGGATGGGTTGGCTTGGGCCAGTGGTCAAGCCGGATTGGGCCGAACCGAGATTAGGGCAGTCGGTTCAGGACAAACTGGTTCGGTTCTGGCCTCCGGTTCATAGTAACACAAACCATTACCTTTGAACCCTAACTGGTGGGCGGAAAGGGGCATACAAACAGGTTGCGTGGTTGACGAAACGGAAGGTGACGGCGGCGGCATACGATGGGTGCAAGTAGAGGTAGGGATGGTCATAGTAGCGGCAACACAAAATGGGTGGAGGCAGATCAGTGCGTACAGCGCTCCGCTTGCCATGCAGGCTGAGGAACTCCCACGGCATCAGAAAGGAGTAGTGGAGATTCTCGCTCAAGGTTTGGAAATAAGTGGTCGAAACCTGATTCCTGCTCCTTCGGGCCCTTGGCCGTTTTCCAACTTGGAGGGCCGATCCATTGCACTGTTTCCAGGCTGGAGAGATCTTATCTCAGAACCCCCACTTCGAGTAACAGATCAAACTATTTGGGCCCCTCTTCCTAGGCGGCTTGATGGACCAATGCCCGCCCAATGGAGCCCGATTCATTGGTGAAACGGGCCCGACCCAAGCCCTCCGTCATTGGAAGGCACGCTCTCTCTCTCTCTCTCTCTCTCTCTCTCTCTCTCTAAATACTTGTGTACTTTTCTCTCTACGTCCCTCGACGTATGAATTTCTCTGCATGTTAATCTACATCTCCCATTCCATGACGCCTCTATCTCTCTTGGCTTCTATGGCCGCTTTCCTTCACAAGGAAAACGTTTCCCCCCACTTACCTTTATAGATATGCCATCCATAACATAAGTAAACGAGAATTACTTTTATAAGGATAAGGAAAAGGTTATTTGACCCGCCGCTAATCAACTGTCCATTTGATATTTTATTGAATAGATAGACAAAACCCCTCACTTGTTCGCAAGAACAAAGTGTGGTATCACGGGTTCACAATCCTTGGAACGGCTGCACTCCTCAAGCTCGTGGTGGTGCGATGCCTATAGAGAAGTGACAGAAACCCATTAGCGGACCATGCCGCCCACGACCGGCGGCGGTACGTTAACTCCGCGAGGTTGCCTCTCCATGTTCCCCACCCATCCTGCATATCAATCCGACAGGTAGCTTCTAAATCAGCGCGCAATGTGTGAAAGAAACAGACAATGACGAGGCAGATAGGAAGATATGTGTATATACACTTTGATGAGAAATAGACGAGCGGGTGAATAAGCGAGATTAGGGTCGCGACTGCCGGCTTGCAACCATCTATGACCTGAAGGAAAGGTCGAAGCTCAAGGCTCCGTGGTTGATTCTTATGGAACACTCGTCAGGATGAAAAAGCATACGCCAAGTCCACCTGCTCTCAAAGCGGGTGCCACAGTGGTGAAGGACGCGACGGAGAGGAAAGGAGAAATACCCTGCGAATTTTGAGGGCTAGGGGTACGAGGATGGGCAGCCGACCTCGCATGGGATTGTACTGGAAACTGGGGAAGAAAGGAAGAGTCGAGAAAGGTGTGGAGAAAAAGAGAGAGAGAGAGAGAGAGAGAATTGCGTATTGTCGACAGTTTATTAATTCGTCAATAGTGGCAAGCCCAGAGGTACTATTATGTGTAAGTAGATTAAGGATGAATCATAGATAGACGTAGATATGAGCACAGATAGGCAAAGACAAACTTATATCTGTAGGTAAAAAGAGAAGCACAGGCAAATATACATGCCTAAAACATATGATTACATAAATGAGAGATAAAAGCATAGATCTGGCTGCCCTTTGGGAATGGGCAAGGGTGATTACGGCACGTGGCCAAAATGCCGTCGATCTCACGGCATTGCTTTAATGAACTTATCCACAAGTTAGGGGAGGCACTTCCCGCACCGTTAAGAAAATATCTCTTACCAGATCCTTGTGATAAAAGTATTCATTAGGACGCAAAGAGATAGGCCCGTGATCTTGCCAGAAAACTTACCAATGTCCATGTCAAAGCCGCGGTTCTTCAGCTCTCTGTATTCCTGGCACAAGGCGCATGACTCGCAGCAGCAGTGGACGAGGCAGTCGGGACATGATCCCTCCGGCAGGGAGTACTGACTCCTGAGTCTGGTCCGGTAGAAGCACGAGAACATGCAGCTACACCCCGTTACGCACAAGATGAGACCGTACAGAGCTCCACTCGTCCCACAGGCTGAAGATTCCAAAAGGGAGCTTTAGATCAAACTGAAGATTCTTCGATTTTTATTTAGAGGAGATGGAACTCACAAGATGATCCCCGGTCGACGATCTCAGCGATCTTGCCGAAGGTCACGCAGGGGCACCAGCAAGTGATGCAACCTGAAAAAGGGTACCATTAGGGATATCTCTTATCAGATCGTGGTCTTTTATTCTTTCTGTTTCTTGGTGGAAAGAGGATGATAGACAAGGGGCTTACAGTTGCCGACGTCGTCGCAGCATTGGCAGAGCCCCGTTGACCATGGGGTAAGCGTCGCTTGAGGCTCAACCTGCAGCGGCCGCGGCAGATGCTCCGGCGGTTTGTAGTACTGGTTGACACCAGCGGCGGGGATCCCAACCGAAGGGGGCGGTGGGTAGCCATCGGACTGCTTTCCCGGGTTGTTCATCGTTGTAGGATTCCGTTACGAAGATCCACACATGAGAAAGGAAGAGGGAGAAATGTGTCGGAAGAGAGAGGAAATGGGCTGAAGGGGGAGAAGAGGAAGAGATAAGATCCAGGTGCGACCCATGATATGGTAGTTAGCATTATAATTTTCGATAGCCCTTTCTGTCAATAATGAAACTTCTAGGAAACCAACTTTGACCAATTCAACTTGAAGAATACGTCAACGGTAACCTACTTTTCAGAACATTCATTGACTTTTTGTTTCTAACGAGCGGAAATGGTATCCACCATAGAAATTACCATAATAATGTCTACGTCCCACGTTGAAGAGCCTTAAAACCTAAGTTGCTTCTTTATCACGTGTGCAATGCTACTTTTCTTCTTTACAATTTTTTCTTAGATTATTCAAAAGTTATCTACTAGAAGGCAGACGTCGGAAGGGGTGAAGGGTATCCTATAATTATGAATATTCTGGATGTTAACAATGTATTCATTAAATTAAAATTACTATTTAATACGTACATAAAACTACATCAGTGAAAATAAGAAATATACCTTCTAGGGCTATATGAATACAGAGATCCTGGAGATATTGAGTTCCTGGGTCCTGAGGGGAAGATATTTGTTTGCAGCATAGAGGCAGTCTCCTGCTGCCAGAAACAGTTTGGTAAATCTTGGATGTTCATGCAAAAATCAGCTTGCTCTAGGTACTCAATTTTTTCGAGGAATCTATTTAAAGCAATGGTGATAATCATAATCTCATCTATGTTTAGGTTGAGAACTGAAAAATAAATTACTGGTGAAATTTGTTACTTAAATATCATAGTAATACTTAAAACTGTTTTGATTCTAAATCTTTGGCTATAAGAATTTTATAAACCTTTGTAATGCATTATCAAGCCAATGGACATCAAGTTTGGTATTTTGTCATCCTAAACCTCATATGCCATAAAAGTTAAAAGATTCCTTGAAGAAGTGTTAAGAAAGTGATTTGATAAAAACAAGGGATATCTGATGATTTCAGGGAATATTATTCGTAATTCAATTCTTTCCCAAGAAGAAATCCCGAGAAAGGAGACATGAATATTTAAATTTAAATGAATACTGAACATGAACAAGTGGAAATTAAGACATTGAGACAAATTTGAGGTCGATCAAGTTACCTTTTTAACTTTCTCTCGACTCGTAATTATCAAATATGGCCCAGTATTACCATTCTCATTTGAGGATAATTACTAAATATGTTCTCCATTCATTTATCAGAAATGTTGGTTGTAGTGGCAATATATTATGTTACACAGTCCCTATAATTATATCATTAACTTAAAAAAATTATGTCAATGGTGTGTTCTTTACCAAGTGAGAGAATGCTGAAACAAGGATTAATGAAAGAAAGTGGTGCATCTTAACATGTTTAATGAATCACCAAAAAACAAGGCTTACACATTCTCTCTTTATCTGCTAGAAGATTCATGAACCACTAATCAACCAAGTCGTGCATCTTAACATGATTGTTCACCTTCTAGAAGATGAAAGCTAATAACTAGTAAATAGTAGATATAAATTTACTTGGAGAAGTCATGAAAGCCATTGTACAAATTAGAGTAGTGAAAACTCTTATTAATTACATCATAAAATACCTAATATTTTATAATATATTATTTAATTTTATAGAAATATTTTTAAATTACATTAATCTCGAAAAAATGATATTAAACTTTTTTATATGATTATACTGTTAACTTCTAGAAATTAATGATGAAATTGGCCATAAAATATTTTGATAGGTTTTACCAATGATTAATATTATTATCAAAATTCTTCTATGTTAATTGCATTTATTTCTGATGTTTTCTTGAATTTTCCTGAATTTTCCTGAGCTTATTACAATACATAATATTATAATAAAAAAATTAAAATATGAGACTAATTTCCTTTTTAGCTTTTCGTATCAACCAGATGTAATGAATACAACAAGAGGTATGGCAGATGATTCAACAAAATCGACGGAATTAACTCACAAGAAAATGGAAAAATGCTTGGGGAGGAAGAAAGGGGCATCTTCAATTAATCTATCGCTCTTGACAACTATTTTCTCTCTCATCTGGTGGCAAAGAATATCAGATTCACCCTAATCATCCCTCCGATAAAAATGATGGATTTCATTTTGATTTCTCGCTGATTCAGCCAGTACAAAAGCTGAATTTCATCCACTAACTCATCCCATTCTTCACTCAATACAAAGGCAAAAAATTTCTTCCAAAGATCCTTCTTCGGACATTGTGGCACACTTGAGTTAAACCACCATCGTCAATCAGTTCCAGCAAGTGATAGCTGTTGGGATCATTATTCATTGACTGAAGATTGTGTAGGAATCCATTCGGTGCACGGTCCCTACACAAATTGATCAAATTAGGGTGAAAATTCAATCATCGACCGTCCCACCCATTCTTCCATAATACTTGAATCTTTACATCATTTTACTTCTTTTTTTATTTATAAAAAGTTTTATTCATTTATAAATTGTGTTAATAATAAATTCTCCTTTTAAATAAAATTTTATTTTGAAGTATTTTTGCTTTGATTTTGTGAAATACCAATCGATGTATTTCCAATGACTTGAATTTGTGGGTGTTTTCCACGAGCTAATGTCAGCTAACATCATAATCTCTAATTTATTATTTTAAATTTCATTTATAAATTTTTAAATTAATTCTAAAAAAAATAATCTATCAATTAGAAATTTTAAATATAATTCACTAACTATTTTATCTTCATTGTGTTCAACCTAGAAGCCCCTATAAAATTAAATTACTCTAAATGGACTTATTTTCCAGCATTTATAAATTATAAATTTACTGAATTTTCTTTACAACAACATAAAAGATTTAGTCAAGTAGCTATGAAAACTTTTCTGATTATTGTAAGCTGGTAGTAAGTAGAAAGTAATTATAGAAACAAGTTAATATAGCCTTACATATTAATAATATATCTAATTTAATATAGTTACATCTCTTGATGAACATACTCCTAAAATACTTCATAGGTAGATTTTTTTTGTAAATGATGCATAGTCTCACTGATAATCATTAAGTTTGTTATTATCACAAAACTTTGGATTCTTGTATATCCTGATGTCTACCAAGATGAAATTGACGAAACCATGTATATAATAAGCCTTGCTTTAAAAGAAAAAAGGCTTGGTACCAATGGATCCAAGTAGAGGCCTAGTGGGGATCCATTTCATACAGAAAAGCCCCTTTTTGGACAACAGTTGCTTCAAAAACCAAATAATTTCTCCTTCAAACAACCAGGACAATACAAACATGTTATCATTCCAAGGAAAATTTCCCACAGACAAAACAATGGGTAACACTTAGTAAGAGGAAGATTGCGGAATCTTCTCAAATAATGAGAATTATTTTGCAGTTACAACATATCAAACGAGAATTTTCAAGTTCCAATTTCTCACTACAGCTCGCTGAACGTTCTAGCGGATCATAGCATCTCCTGCCCTAGGCGCTTGAGTCATCGCTGGCTCCTTCTTCTCCACGTTTCCTTCCCATCCTGATAAGAGTTCCACACGCTGATGCTAGACATGACTCTGTTCGAGAGGAGGGTAATAGGATCGAAAATAGCAAGGAAACGTACACACCTATTTCCATGTTGAAGCCGCGATTCCTTAGCTCTCTATGCATTTGGCAGAGGGAACAACGTTCACAGAAGCAGTGAATGAGGCAGTCGTAGCAGTCGGTTCCGGGCAGCGAGTACTGCTGCCGCAGCTTCCCCCGATAGCAGCACGAGTACATGCATGAGAAGCCCATGCCCCTCAAAGCCATGTAGATGGCGCCTCCGGTCAGGCATGCTGAGGGTAACCATGATAGATATGAGGAAAACTATAGAACTGCCTATTCTTTTGTTAGAAAAAGATTATCATATGTTCCCAAGGGGCGCGCTGTGAAAGGAAATTGGATCAGAGTTGACTCACTTGTTGATCCTTTGTCCACGATCTCTGTTATCTGGCCGAAGATAATACACGGACAGAAGCAGGCAATGCAACCTGTTTGACAGTAGACGTCGCTAGTCAGAGCCTATCATTTTCTCTCCCTACTGGAAGGTAAATAAGTGATGAGTTTACTGTTTCTTGGTTCCTCGAAGCAGTCGAAGAGACCGGTGGTCCATGAGCCTTTGGGGACGGCTAGTGACTCTTCCGACATGGCTCCTGATGAAGCACGAGCGACCAAGATAGAGACAGAGAGAGGGGAGATAGAGCGAGGGGAATAGAGAGAATAAGCACGAGCGATCAAGAGAAAGAGAGCGAGAGAGAGAGGGGGAGGAGCGGGGGGGCAGGATGACAAAACTACGGACCTGAAACCTTAAATAAAATTTCCGGTTTCATGGTCTTCTCGTTCGGATGTGACACCTTAGGAGGCGTGCTACCCTGTGTTACTGTGATAAAGTCAGAGTCGGGATAGGTTCGTAGAAGTGGCAGCAGAGACGTGAAGTTGTAGCCAGTATACACCCTTCCAAGATGTGAGCTGCTTGAAAGGAACAGCGGCCGTTATTTTAAGTAGAGGATAATAGACATCCTGTGACCTTGTTCTACATTTTGCATAGAAAAGTCAAGACATTAATTATTCCGAGCGACGAGCAACGCGATCCTCGTGTGACAACAAAGCAGAACTCCTCGATTCGGTGGCTTCTTCACAGAAACTCCTTATTTGACTTCTCAAATTGGCGTAGAACAAGGTAGTTCCTATCACTTCAGGATAAGGTAGTTCAAATAGTTCCAACCACTTTAAATTGGCATAGAACAAGATACAACGGTGGTCAAGAGTAAAACGTTTATTCAATATTATCCTATTCGTGACTCTTCATGACCTTATCACTACACGAAGGCTTTCTTTTTCAGATTTTTCCTGACCAAAAGGCTTCCTCATCACAACAAAAAAGCTTCGTTGTTCAAATAGTTCCTTATCACTACACGAATGCTGAGTGCTGCACAAACAGTAAATTTGAGAACCACTTCAGGATTTGGACATATAAACATTGGATTAGAATAGGTTGTACCTTATGTAAGCTCCAACCCTTCATGTTCCATCTAAGCAGCACGTCTATTGAGGATTCTTGTGCCTGAATAATTTAATAAATATTTCTTGGTTCATAATTGTTGTATGAGTTTCATCGAGATTATGGGTACAATGTGCAAGCTTAAGACATTATTAATATCTTATTTATATCTCTATATTAGTATATAAATATAACAAATCGAAAAAGTTCATACTAGATTTTAGAGTAGTTTGACCAAACTCCTTTGGCCTACATCCACTTCTTATGTATACTAACCTTAGATTTTCACTAACCACACACTGTAATTATAACGAACATATGGGCTCAGCTCTCCCATACACTATTATAGACTACTGATAATTCCCTGAATGATCATGTTAAAAGGGTTATATGATTAATGATTAAAGCGTAAGAATATAGGAATATGGTAATTACATATTAAACACATACATTTTCACACTAGTTCGTGAATTATGTCATTTTCTTATTTTCTATGGGAATGTGAGCATCAAGATAGATGACAAGGGAGAAATCAGTGTATTATTATGATGTGAGACTATGTGAGGAATTTATAACCATGATGCACAGCCAAGGGAATATAGTTTCCCATTAATCCTCTAAGTTCATCATGGGCATTTATACAATATGTGAACATGAAAACGTAAAACTATAAAGAAGACTTGCTTGTAAATCTTGCAGGATGTAAGGGAAAAACTGGAAGGCCTAACATAGGGCACATGATCCCAAAAGAGAGGAACCACCACCAGCCCTCTCCTCATTCATGATCAGCTCTCTCTCTCCCCTTCCTACCTTGGTGCGTCCCTCTCCTATCGTGGGAACAGTCTGCTCCTCCTCTCTTCCTTAGTGCCACCTGCAGCACACCATAGGCGGGCCAACTTGTCCCTTCCCCCCCTTCTAGTGGTGACAGCACTAGCAACAATCGTGGGTCTCCTCCCTTGGCACAGCAAGAAGAGGATCAATCGAAGACTCCTTTGCGTGAGACCGCCGTTCTCTCTCTACGTCCATCAGAACCAGGGGTAGAAATCATTTTCATTTTGTTCCTTTGACTTTTATGTAATTGAACCTCTTTTATCCTAGTTAATACAATCTAAATTTCGTGAAACCCTATTCTCCTTTGCCTCATTGATTTTGAATAGTTGAAGTCGTTGAAGGAAGTGGGGAATCATCCCCATTGGCCATTCGTAATTTATTTACGTGGTGGCTGGTTGAACCTTGAGAGAAATTTTCCTCTCAACATGCATTAAATTTCTGTTCGTGGCTACTAAATTTCAAAGAGTAAAGAAATCAGAATATCATTAATTAATATACATCAACTAATTCAAAACTCTTCTTGCATTCGACCTGGTTTTCTACTAATTCATCAAGAGATTATTCTTATGAAAATCAGTTTATAAATTTAAAATTGACGATCTTAATAATAGTAACTTAAGAAGTTACATTTATAATACCCTTCACTTATAGTTGAGAACACCATAGGTGTCACAATATATTAAGCACACCAGAGGTGTTGAGAAAGGCTTTAACTCAACACAAGAGCTAGATAAATTGACCAATTGCAACACATATACTTATCAACTAACCAAGTGCATTACATGCACTTGTCAACCCACCACACACCTTAAGTGGGGGTCTTCCTCTCAATCACACCATAGGTATAAGAAGGTCATCCTAACACACCATAGATCAAGATACAATTATAGAATAATTTTGTCACAACTTTCAAAAATCATTTTCATGCACCAAAAGTTGTTAAAGACGCAGATAGGTGTTGCACTGAAGAAGAAAGCTCTTGAGATTTACGCTAATTTTTACAACTCCCTTGAAGCAATCAAACCTTGCCCTTGAGCCTTAGTTGATGTAGGACAAGGAGTCCAGAAGAGATCTCCTTAAAGAGAAATACACTTTGGTCTTTAGAGTTGACTTAAATTAGAACTTTGAGGGTTTGATATCTAGATGATATCATAATTTTAAGAGAATTAGGATTGTTAATTACTTGTTAGGATATTTAATTTAAAGAATCAAACAAAGGTTCTCAACTAGGGTTTGGACCACCAATCTCTCACATGAAGGTGGCTATCTTATGAATCTCACAAATTCTAAGAGTAAGGATCTTAAAAAATAATGACCAACTTTATGAGAATTAAAAATCAATGCACCTTTGTAATGAAGATTCTTAATTCTAGAAGATTCTTATTTCACTGGAATTCCTCAAGCCTTTTTAGAGATTTTCTCACTTTATAGAAAGAATTATTAAAGGTCAATGGTGAAGAGAAGGGAGGGAACAAAGGAGGAGAGACTAAATTCAAATAGCTCGAGTAAGGGGTAGACTAGTGCAGTTCACAAGAATGGGCCATTTGAGCTAGGTGTTAGGGTCAACATAAATAATTGAATAAAAAACTACAATGGGGGGAGCGAATTGGGGTGATGGTGGGATAGCCAATAGGGAAATAAATAAATAGGAAAAGGGTAGGGGGTCAGACGGAGAAAATGGGCAAATCGAGGGCTTCGGTGGAGAGAGAGAAGAGGGGGTTTTGCGGTGATGAAAGAGAAAGGAGAAGGTTTTGCAATGGGGTGGTGAAGAGGCGAACTGCTGCGACGGGGTGGATGGTGAGGAGGCGGAATGGCAGTGACAGCGAAAGAGGAAGAAAGGTGGAGCGGCAACATAGCAAGGAGGCAGAACGGTGGCAATAGGGTGGACAGCAAGGAGGCAGAAAGGCAGCGACGGCGAGAGAGGAAGAAAGATGGGCCTGGCGACAAGGTGGATAGCAAGGAGGCAGAATCTCGGTGATGGGCAGACAGCGAGGAGGTAGAAAGGCAGCAACATCAGGTAAGAAAGAAAGGTGGGCTAGCGACAAGGCATACAACAAGGAGGTAGAACGGTAGTGATGACAAGAGAGTGTAAAGGAAGGGCTAGTGATAGGATGGAAGGACAACAAAGTGGGAGAAGAAAAAGAGAGAGAGGTCCCCCTAATCTAAGAGGGTGAGAAGAAGAAGATACCCCTAATCCAAGAGGTGAGAGAAAGAGAATAGGAACCCCTAATCTAAGAGGTGAGTGAGGGAGAAGAGGAACCCTAAATCCAAGAGGTGAGTGAGGGAGAAGAGGAACCCTAAATCCAAGAGGTGAGAGTGATAACAAGAACCTTCTTGAATACAAATTCAACTTTTTTTTTTCAAGTATTCATGAGTTTGAATATTTCTAGAAAAGAGGGAAATATAGTTGAAGGCACCTTCCTTAGAGGAGAAGGGGTGCGTGGGTTTTGTGGCCTCTTCTCCTCCCTCTTCTTCTCTCTCTTGGGCCCACCTAAGAGGTTGAATCCTCATGTTGGCTCCATAATGCAGGACCAAAGAGGGGAAAGAGATATTGATGTGCACTTATCGTTATGCTTAAATGCACATTATCTAATAATATTTATAACTAAAACTTAATAAAATACTAATATAGAAGTAAGTCTTAGATCGAACACATGGAGATTGATTAATTTGTTGTGAAAACTAATTTAGTTTATATATAAAGTGATTTTAATATTTTATTAATATTTAATCAGAAATAATAAAATAGAAGGGTGAGGTGAGAAGAATAAAAGAAGGGAAGTGCAGAAAAAGAAGTTGAAAAAGAGAGAGAGAAGAGAGAGAGGAGAGAGGAGGAATTCTCACATGAGATAGAGAGAGAAAGATCTCACAAGAGAGAGAGGAGAGAGATAAGAGAGAGAAAGAAATCTCACTTGAGAGAGAGAGAGAGAAAAGTCTCACAAGAGAGAGAGAGAGAGAAAGAAGAGAGAGAGATCAAGAGAGAGAGAGAAAGAGAAGGAGATCGATTGAGAGAGAGGGAGAGAAAGAGAGAGATCTCATGAGAGACAAAGATATAAAAAAAAATGATAATAAGGAAAGAGAGAAATATGATTGACGTGACTTAGTCATTATATAGTAAATCATGTAAATTTAAAACTTATACAACTAGAAAATACTAATTTTCAGATATTTAGAAGTATTTCTGAAAAAATATATCAATTATAATTCAATAAAACTTCCAAAAATAGTGGTAAATTTTCAAGTTGATCACAAGGATGTAATGTAATATCGAGTAATTATTCAGAATTTTCTTCAAAGAATATAATTTTTTATGAATTTTATACTAGGAAATGAAAATAAAATATATTTAAAATTTACGAAGAAGGGAAATAAGGGTGCGGATGTCAAGATGACATCAATGCTCGACGAACACAAATTGGGCAAAAACAAAGTTCCCTTCGGCGATTCTTACATAAGTAATTACAAATGATTTAATTGATCAAATTAAGATCTATAAAAGCTAGAAGAATCATAATTGAAGTATAGTTTGATAAATTTAAATCACACAAATTATCAGTAAATGAAGTGAAAATTAAATTGAAAGTAGGAAAACAGAGTTCTGGCATCGCAGCGACGATGTGTCGGCGATGCACCAGAATCTTGAGCATTTAAGAGGATTGTCGTGTAGTGTCCACAGCCTTGAAGGCTCTCCTTGGACAAGGACGATGTGGACAATCTCTAGATCTCCTTGCAAAGTCTAGAGATCAATGAAATAGGTCGTCGAATCATCTCCGGCAGCTGTCACCAGACGGAGCAGAAAAATGACAACTTTACAGCTCTCCAATGACTGTCACCTAATAGAGAGGAGTTGGATGGAGGTAGGGTGCATATTAGGGAGCTTCATCCTCATATCCGCACAGCAAGAGGAGGCTCTTCATCACATCTGGTATGCTCTCTAGAGGTGGCGACTCATCCTTTTCACGACGACGGCTTGTTCGTCGATCAATTAGAGATGCTTTACTCGATGGATTTGCGATCCTTTTATCGCGAATCGTTCAACAATTTTAGTAACAATATTTTACGAATCGTATTGATGAGATTTTCATCGATGATCTAGTGATACTGATGGCTTAGTCCTTCACTAGCAATCTACAGAAAAGTCACGATAATCAAATAAAAAATACATTTTAGCTCTAGGAGGATTCGAACCCACACTGGTTGCCTGCTTTCGAAGCCTTTCGAGAGAAGGTGTGACGTGGGTTTAGTCCTACATCGTTTGAGCGCCAAAGTTTTGAGTGAATAAATACTAATATCATATTTTTCAAGTAATGAGTCCCTTTCTCCCACACATACGACCACTCTTTGCCCCATAGCTGGCTGGCCACGAGTGATGTGGAAGGGGAGTGGTGCACGCGTGCCCCCATCGGCCCTAGCCGCTCGAGCTCCTACTCGCGGCTCCCCTCAACTGCACTTCTGACCTGCTTGAGGGCCTAGCTAACCAGCGAGTCCCCCCTTTTTGCTATATTTTGATTTTAATTTCTTTTTCTTCATTTATCTCAAAAATAGGACTATAAAAATCATATAAATTCGTAAGAAATCAAATAATTAGCCAAAAATCTACGTTAATCAATTGAAAATAACTTTTCACAATTTAACACAAATATAAGTCTATTTATCATGAGTTGAGGCTAAAAATATATTATTTACTAATTATTAACTCATGATAATGAAGACTTATCAATGGTCAACCTATTTTCACGGCGATCATTATTCTCGAACAAATGTGTGCTTGAGAATTGACACAAATGACATGAGGTCAGCCATAAATGACTACACATTATTTTAACAATTCAACAATCATTAAGCAGCCTTTAATCTCAGTGATTTCACATTTGAAAATAAAATAATAATTATTATTCATGAAACACTGAGAACATAAATATGTCAAGATTCGACTGTCAAAATTAATAAAAAATAAGTTGAAATGATCTTAGCTTAATCTTAGACAAGTTTTGAAGGATTCAAAAGAAGAACAAGGATCATTCATCAAGTTTTGAATTAATTCTACTCATTTCAATCCAAACATGTATGAAACGGAAGTAACTTGTTGGAAAATATAAATAAATGACAAAAGTAGATAAGTAAATATTGAAAGCAGGAAATAAATCATTGCTCAAGTTTAGTCTGCCTTTCAGACAACTAGATATACTGGTGTGACGGCTTGGTTTCGTCTGGACGTGGCACACCATGTTGGAAGTCGTAGAAGTATCATCTTGAAGTACTACACCACTTGTCGGAGAGATCTACCAAAAGATGGGTCAACCATGTTGTCACCGTCATCTTGGGGGAGAAGGGAAGAGCTAACCACCTGCCAAATACCTTGAGTGCAGTCGGGGGAGGAAAGAATGAGCTTGTCGATCACTAGAGATGTCGATCGCACAAAAGGAGGGAAGAACAGATTGCCGTATTCACAACTATCATTGGGATTTTAAAGATAATTGATAATATCTATTTTACTAGATAATAATTAATTATTGTCTTTATATCCCTAATGGTGATACATGCAAGAACTTAAGTTCTCGATATCATGGCACTTTACAAGCTATTGGATCAGATGTGCATGGTCACATGATATGTTGAGTGACATAGGATCAACCTACCACAAACCGCTACTGATTGGCAACTTAAGTCCTTGGTACCATGGTGAATCTTTAGCCATCAGATCATTCTTTAAGGCCACATGCATGTTGAGTGGCGTCGGATTTGCGAATGGCCAATGGATCGCTTTATACATCAGGTATCGTGGTGGCTTGCTAGCCACAAGATCTAACTCATCTAATAACGTGGCTTACTGAATACTTCTGGATCACATTGCACTCTAGATGGCTGTCTTGAGATGGACAAAAACCTTTACTCCCACATTGAAAATATTATGGATGCACGAGTCGAATATAAATCAAAGCTATCGCTTCTCATTAGAGATCTTTTCTCCCAAAATAAAATAATATCCAAGACCATCTTGAGAGAAGGCAAAGAGGTGGCCCACCCTCGCACATGCACGTGTATACAAACACTCCTTACCTACAACTGGTTCACCACTAGGATGTGGAAGGAGAGTGATGCACACGTGCACAGAGCGAGTCCTTCACCACTCGAGCCCAACTTGTGGCTCCCCTAGTCTAGGTCTATGATAAGTCTTCATTATCATGAGTTAATAATTAGTAAATAATATAGTTTTAGCCTTAACTCATGATAAATAGACTTATATTTGTGTTAAAGTGTGAAAAGTGGTTTTCAGTTGATTAATGTGATTTTTTAGGTAATTATGTGATTTTACTTGAATTTATATGATTTTTATAGTCTTGCTTTTGAGATAAATGAAGAAAAAGAAATAAAAATAAGACAAAATGAGTGGGACCTGTCAGCCAGCCGAGCCCGCAAGCAGGTCGGAAGCTCAATCAGGGAGTAGTCGCGAGCAGGGGCTCGAGCGGCTTGAACCGATGGGGGCACGTGTGTGCCACTCCCCTTCCACGTCACCAGTGGCCAGCTAGCTGTGGGGCAAGGAGTGGTCGTACACGTGAGAGAAGGAACTTTGCTTAGAAAGCTAATATTACTATATATTCGCCCAAAAAATCGGCGCACAACCGATGTGGGACTAAACCCGCGTCACACCTTCCTCAAAAGAGGCGGACAACCAGTGCGGGTTCGAATCCTCCCAGAGTCAAAATTCATATATTTTTTATTTGATTATCGCGACTTTCCTACAGATCGCCGGTGAAGGATTAAGCAACGAGAATTGCTAGATCATCGGCGAAAATCTCGTCAACGCGATTCGCGGAGTATTACTACTAAAATTGCTGAACGATTCACGATAAAAGGATCACAAATCCATCGAGTAAATCATCTCCGATTGATCGACGAACAAGCTATCATTGGGAAGAGGACGATCCGCCGGGAGATGAGTCGCCACCTCCTAAGAGCATACTAGATGCGATGAAGAGCCTCCTCTTGCTGCGCGGACCTGAGGATGAAGCTCCCTGACACGCACCCCACCTCCATCTAGCTCCTCTCCGTCGGGTGACAACTGTTGGAGAGCCACAAAGTCGCCATTTTTCCACTCCGCCGGGTGATAGCCGCCAGAGACGATTCAACGACCCATTTCATTAATCTCTAGACTTCGCAAGGAGATCTAGAGATTGCCCACGTCGTCTTTGTCCAAGGAGAGCCTTCGAGGCCATGGACACTACACGACAATCCTCCCAAACACTAAGGATTCCGGTGCATCGCCATCGCGACGCCGGAACTTTGTTTTCCTCCTTTCAAACTTACTTTACGCTTCATTTAGAGATAATTTTTGTGATTTTAATTTACCAAAATATACTTCGTTCACTTACGATTCTTCTGGCTTTTATAGATCTTAATTTGATCAATTAAATCGTCTGTAATCACTTACGTAAGAATCGTCGGGCGGAACTCTATTTTTGCCCGATTCGCGTTCGCCGGGCACTAACATCATCCTGACGTCTGCACCCTTCTTTCCTTTTTTTTTGAATTTTAAATATATTTCCTTTTCATTTCTTAGTATAAAAATCATAGAAAATAGTATTCTTTGATGAAAATTCTGAATAATTATCATATATTATATTACATCCCTGTGATCGACTTAGAAAATTGCCGCTATTTTTAGAAGTTTTATTGAATTATAATTGATATATTTGTTCAGAAATACTTCTAAATATCTGAAAATTTGTATTTTCTAGTTTTATAAATTTTATATTTTGTGTGATTTAATATACAACGACTGAGTCACGTTAGTCTACCCATTTGACTATAGTGTCCCACTAGATTAGCTACTAAGTGTCGACTTGCTAGTGGGCAAAATGTTTTTATATTTTATTCTTTTATATTTTTAAATAATCTAAAAGTACACCAAGTATTTGACTTCAGACTTCTAAAATTAACAAAATATCCTATATTTATTCTGCAAGTTAATAAAATAAAATAAAATAATAAAGTTAATTAAAACACAAAATCCTAACTTTAAAAAATACCCCACACTTTGAATTTTTTTAGTCCCTAGAAATAAGCAAAAGACTTACAAAATTAAAATTATTTATTAATTATTTTACATGAATCATTTCTTTTCTCAAATTTCCGCTAGAGATGGCATTCAAATAAATATTTAGATATCTATGTGATTCGAAATAGTTTCCTACAAGATCAAAACTAAAAAAGATGTTTCAATATCTAAATAAACTATTTCAAAAAATATGCATCTTAAGTTTTGACGTGACTTAGTCTTTGTATGGTAAATCATGCAAATTTAAAATTTATAAAACTAGAAAAGATGAATTTTCAGATATTTAGAAGTATTTCTGAACAAATATATCAATTATAATTCAATAAAATTTTCAAAAATAGCAGTAATTTTCTAAATCGATCACAAGGATGTAATATAATATCTGGTAATTATTTAGAATTTTCCTCAAAGACTACCATTTTCTATAAATTTTATACTAGGAAATGAAAAGGAAATATACTTAAAATTCACGAAAAAGGGAAATAAGGGTGCGGATGTCAAGATGACGTCAACGCCCAGCGAACACGAATCGGACGAAAATAGAGTTCCACCCGGTGATTCTTACATAAGCGATTACAAACGATTTAATTGATCAAATTAAGATCTATAAAAGCTAGAAGAATCGTAATGGAATGAAGTTTATCTTGGTAAATTTAAATCACACAAATTATCACTAAAATGAAGTAGAAATTAAGTTGAAATTAAGAAAATAGAGTTCCGGCATCGCGGCAGCGATGTGTCGGCGATGCACTGAAATCTTGAGTGTTTAGGAGGATCGTCGTGTAGTGTCCACAGCCTCGAAGGCTCTTCTTGGACAAGGACGACGTGGGCAATCTTTAGATTTTTTTCCAAAGTCTAGAGATAAATGAAATGAGTCGTCAAATTGTCTCCGGCGGCTGTCACCTGGCGGAGCAGAAAAATGACAACTTTGTGGCTCTCCGGCGGCTGTCACCCGACGGAGAGGAGCTAGATGGAGGTGGGACGCGTGTTAACAAGCTTCATCCTTAAGTCCGCACAGCAAGAAGAGGCTCTTTGTTTTATCCGGTACACTCTTAGGAGGTGGCGACTCGTCTCTCGGCGGATCGTCCTCTTCTCGACGACGGCTTGTTCGTTGATCAATCAGAGATGCTTTACTCGATAGATTCGTGATCCTTTTATCACAAATTTTTTAGCAATTTTAGTAACAATGCTCCACAAATTGCATTGATGAGATTTTCACCGATGATCCAGCGATTTTGGTTGCTTAAACCTTCACTGGTGATCTGCAAGAAAGTTGTGATAATCAGATAAAAAATATGAGTTTTGACTTTGGGCAGATTGGAACCCGCACCAATTGCCCGCCTTTTTTGGGGAAGGTGACGCGGGTTTAGTCCCACATCACTTGTGCGTCGAATTTTCGAGCGAATATATAGTAATGCTACATTTGGAAGCAAGTCCCTTTCTCACGCGTGTACGACCACTCCTTGCCCCACAACTAGCTGGCCACCGGTGATCTGAAAAAGGAGTGGCGCACACGTGCCCCTATCAGTCCAAGTTGCTCGAGCCCTTGCTCGCGGCTACTCCCCAATTGTACTTCTGACCTACTTGCAGGCCTAGCTGGCTGGTGGGTGACGTGACTTAGTCGTTGTATAGTAAATCACGCAAATTTAAAAGTTATAAAACTAAAAAATACAAATTTTCAGATATTTAGAAGTATTTCTAAACAAATATATCAATTATAGTTCAAGAAAACTTCCAAAAATAGCAGTAATTTTTCAGGTCAATCATAGGGATGTAATATAATATCTGGTAATTATTCAGAATTTTTCTCAAAGAATACTATTTTCTATAAATTTTATACTAGGAAATGAAAAGGAAATATATTTAAAATTCACAAAAGAAAAGAAATAAGGGTGCGGACGTTAGGATGACATCAGCGCCCGGCGAACTCGAATCGGGTGGAAACAGAATTCTGCCCAATGATTCTTACGTAAGTGATTACAGACAATTTAATTGATCAAATTAAGATCTGTAAAAGCCGAAGAATCGTAATGAAATGAAGTATATCTTGATAAATTTAAAATCAATAAATTATCGCTAAATGAAACAGAAATTAAGTTGAAAGCAGGAAAATAGAGTTCCGATGTCACGACGGCAATGTGTCGGCGATGCACTGGAATCTTGAGCATTCGAGAGGATAGTCGTGTAGTGTCTATGGCCTCGAAGGCTCTCTTTGAACAAGGACGATGTGAGCAATCTCTAGATCTCCTTGCGAAGTCTAGAGATTAATGAAATGGGTCGTTGAATCGTCTCCAACGGCTGTCACCCAGCGGAGCAGAAAAACGGTGACTTTGCGGCTCTCCAACAGTTGCCACCCGATAGAGAGAGGAGCTGGATGGAGGTGGGGCGCGTGTCAAGGAGCTTCATCTTCAGGTCCGCGCAGCAAGAAAAAGCTCTTCATCGCATCTGGTACGCTCTCAGGAGGTGGCGACTCGTCTCTCGACGGATCGTCCTCTTCCCGACGACGACTTGTTCATCGATCAATCGGAGATGCTTTACTTGATGGATTTGCGATCCTTTTATCACAAATCGTTCAACAATTTTAGTAACAATTCTCCGTGAATCGTGTTGACGAGATTTTTGCCGATGATCTAGCAATTCTGGTTGCTTAATCCTTCACTAGTGAACTACAAGAAAGTCACGATGATCAAATAAAAATATGAATTTTGGCGTTGAGGAAAGTGATGCGGGTTTAGTCCCACATTGGTTGTGCGCTGAAGTTTCTGGCAAATATAAAGTAATATTACATTCCTAATCAAGTCCCTTTCTCGCACGTATACGACCACTCCTTACCCCACAATTGGCTGGCCACCACTGACGTGGAAGGGGAGTGGCGCACATGTGCCCCCATCAGTTCAAGCCGCTCAAGCCCCTGCTCGCAGCTCCTGCCTAACTGTGCTTCCGACCTGCTTGCAGGCCCAGCTGACTAGCGGGCCCCCTCCATTTTACTATATTTTTATTTTAATTTCTTTTCCTTCATTTATCTTAAAAGTAAGATTATAAAAATTGTATAAAATCACATAATTACCCAAAAATTCACGTTAATCAACTAAAAACCACTTTTCATACTTTAACATAAATATAAGTCTATTTATCATGAGTTAAGGCTAAAACTATATTATTTACTAATTATTAACTCATGATAATGAAGACTTATTAGTGGGTCCCCCTCATTTTGTTTTATTTTTATTATAATTTCTTTTTCTTCATTTATCTCAAAAGTAAGACTGTAAAAATCATATAAATTCGTCTAAAATCACACAATTACCCAAAAATTCACGTTAATCAACTGAAAACCACTTTTCACACTTTAACACAAATATAAGTCTATTTATCATGAGTTAAGACTAAAACTATATTATTTACTAATTATTAACTCATGATAATAAAGACATCAAGTTTCATTCTCTTTAATGCATGAAATTCAACATTTTTCATTTTGAGAAATCACTAATTAAATGATCAAAAGTTTACTCAAGTTTTCAAACTATCTTTGACCTTCCCTTCTAGATTCATGCACCTAAGTAGCGTATTCTATTTATATTTTATTATTCTTATTATTATTATTATTATAAACATCATAGGCAGGTAGCTTTCCCCATATAGCTTCTTTTTTATGTCTAAATCTCACATGTGGAAAGCCTCCACGAGACAAGTGAGAAATTCCCATAGAAATATTTGCACTCACTTTTATAAAAAAAAAACAAATCATCCTAGTCTCACATATAGAAAAGTATTTATGGGACAAGTGGGAAATCTCCATATATATATTTTGAGTTGGGTCTTACACTCTACCAAATGTTCAAATACTTAGGACTCCTCATACTAAGAATGTCTAGCTTCCAATAATTTTTATACAATTTCAACTTCATCACATCCAACTTCATGATTCCTAAGAATCCAAATGCGAATTCATAATATATGGATCATGATCATCAAGATATATTCTGAAAATATTTCATCCTTCAATGTACTACATTTTTTTTTCTATCATTTGAAGTCACTAAATCTAACACACTTTAACCTTCATACTTAAATAAATTTACCCTCTTATAGGGAAAATATATATATCCATGAATTCATCAATACTAGTTCTAAATTTTTCTTCTATGCTAATTATTCATGAAATAAATCTAACTGAATTTTCTTTCCTCCCCCCAATTAAAATCGGAATTGTCCTCAATGACATGAAATATATTATCAAATTAAACTATAAAGCAAAAGATATATACTCATACATGAGCAAGTATAACATGATAAAACATAAATGTATGAGGTACTACTGAAATGAAATAAGGAGCAACGAAATTCTAAATTTATTCACTACAAAATATAAATTAAATTCTACAAAACTAAAATTATTGGGTCGTCTCCCAATCAGTGCTAAGTTTAACATCTTCAACCAAACACCAGTCTATGATGATTCCATAAATGTTATGTCATCACCTAATACCTCTTTCTTATAATATTTTTGACCTAATGCATGGGCATGAAATGGGAAAATTAATTGATCAACTTGTTGAACATAATTGTATTCCGCTATGTAAGAATCAATTACCTATCTATGCATGCTAGAGCTTTATAAATCAATTACCATATAAATTTAGAGATACTGGTGCCCCTTTAATTTCATGTGATATTGGTGGATCCATTTTTTAGAATGTATTACTAGACACTAGTACTAGTATTAATTTATTACATGCAAGTATTTGTGATAAATTTAATATTACTAATATTAAATCTTCTACTATTATCTTACAATTTACTGATAAATCCATAAAACATCCTAAAAGTATTTTAGAAAATGTGATAGTGACATTAAAGAGTGTAAATTTCCAACTGATTTTATAGTGCTGCAAATAGATTTTAATAGACAGTTTTATGATACACCAATCATCTTAGGGAGACTTTTTTCGTTCATACAGCAAAGATGAATATTGATTTTTCCACAAATATTGTGAAAATTTTATGTAGAGATCAGTTAGTAGAAATTAAAAATTTTGAGGTATCAAATGATCTTAAGGAATCCCAAGTATATGATTGTAATACCATAGATCTTCTAAATGATTTTGATGATCTAGATGTTATTAATGATTGTGTGTTAGAAGAATTAGAGGAAATAGAGAATATAAATTTAGGAGAAAAGAAAGAGGAAGATCATCTGAATTTAGAGTTGAAACCTCTTCCCTCTAGTTTAAAATATATGTTTTTGGAGGAAAATAATTCATTTCCTATTATTATTGTAGTTGATTTGAGTGATGAACAAGAAGAAGAATTATTAGATGTACTTCGAAAAAATAAGAAGGCTATTAGCTGGAAAATAGATGATCTTAGGGGCATTGATATGAGTGTATGTATGCATAGTATATATCTAGAGGAGGGGGCTAAAACTAGTAGGGAACCACAATGAAGATTAAATCTTAACATGATGGAAATTTTAAAAAAAGAAATTTTAAAGTGGCTGATTGTTGATATTATTTATCCTATTTCAAATAGCAAATGAGTTAGTCCTACATAAGTGGTGCCCCGAAAATCAGGGATCACGATTATAAAAAACGAAAATAAGGATGAAATATAAACAAGATTAACTACTCGTTGGAGGGTTTGCATTGATTATAGAAAATTAAATTCAGTTACTAGAAAAAATCATTTCCCCTACCATTTACTAATCAAATTCTAGAAAACTTAGTTGAGAAAAACTTTTTTTGTTTTCTGGATGGATACTCTGGTTATAATCAAATTTATATAAATCCTTTAGATCAAGAAAAAATAACTTTCACTTGTCTATTTGGTACTTTTGCTTTTAAAAGCATGCCTTTTAATCTATGTAATGCTCCAGCCACATTTCAAAGATGTATGTTGTCTATTTTTTCTAATATGACTAAAAAATGCATGAAAATTTTTATGAATGATTTTTCTATTTTTGGTGAATCATTTGCTAAATGCTTAAATTATTTACAGCATGTACTTGAGAAATGTAAAGAGAAAAAATTAGTTTTGAGTTGGGAGAAATCACATTTTATGATTAAAAAGGGAGTTGTGTTGGGTCATATTGTGAGTGAAAAAGGTGGATAGAGCAAAAATTGATATTATATCTAAAATTAAATCTCTAAATTCAGTAAAATAGAATAGACCTTTCTTGGGTCATGCACATTATTATAGAAAATTTATTCAATATTTTTCGAAAATTTCTAAACCTCTCACTGACGTGACTTAGTCATTGTATATTAAATCACGCAAATATAAAATTTATAAAACTAGAAAATACGACTTTTTTAGATATTTAGAAGTATTTATGAACAAATATATCAATTATAATTCAATAAAACTTCCAAAAATAGCGGTAATTTTTCAGGTCAATCACAGGGATGTAATATAATATCTGGTAATTATTCAGAATTTTTTCAATGAATACGATTTTCTATGAATTTTATACTAGGAAATGAAAAGGAAATATATTTAAAATTCACAAAAAAAGGAAATAAGGGCGCGGATGTCAGGATGACATCAGCACCCGGGGAACGTGAATCGGGCAGAAACAGAGTTCCGCCCGGTGATTCTTACGTAAGCGATTACAGATGATTTAATTAATCAAATTAAGATCTATAAAAGCCGAAATAATCGTAATTGAACAATGTATATTTTGGTAAATTAAAAACACAAAAATTATCACTAAATGAAGCGTAAAGTAAGTTAAATGCAGGAAAATAGAGTTCCGGCATCGCGACGGTAATACGTCGGTGATGCACCGGAATCCTAAGCGTTTGGGAGGATCGTTGTGCAGTGTTCATGGCCTCAAAGGCTCTCCTTAGACAAAGACGATGTGGACAATCTCTAGATCTTCTCGCGAAGTCTAAAGATTAATGAAATGGGTCGTCGAGTCGTCTCCGGTGGCTGTCACTCGGCGGAGCGGAAAAACGGCGACTTTGTGGCTCTCCAGCGGTTGTCACCCAACGAAGAGGAGCTGGATGGAGGTGGGGCGTATGTCAGGGAGCTTCATCCTCAGGTCTGCACAGCAAGAGGAGGCTCTTCATCGCATCTGGTACGCTCTCAAGAGGTGGCGACTCGTCTCCCGGCGGATCGTCCTCTTCCTGACGACGGCTTGTTCATCGATCAATCGAAGATGATTTACTCAATGGATTCGCGATCCTTTTATCGCGAATCGTTTAGCAATTTTAGTAGCAATGCTCCGCGAATCGCGTTGATGAGATTTTCGTCGATGATCCAACGATTCTCGTTGCTTAATCCTTCACCGGCGATCTGCAGGAAAGTCACAATAATCAGATAAAAATATATGAATTTTGACTCTGGGAGGATTCGAACCCGCGCCAGTTGTCCACCCCTTCTGAGGAAGGTGTGACGCGGGTTTAGTCCCACATCGGTTGTGCATCAATTGTTCGGGTGAATATATAGTAATATTAGCTTTTTGAGCAAAGTTCCTTCTCTCGCGTGTACGACCACTCCTTGCCCCACAGCCGGCTGACCACTGGTGACGTGGAAGGGGAGTGGCGCACACGTGCCCCTATCGGTCCAAGCCGCTCGAGCCCCTGCTCGCGGCTACTCCCCGACTGAGCTTCCGACCCGCTTGCGGGCCCGGCTGGCCGGCGGGTCCCCCCCATTTTACAATATTTTTATTTCTATTTCTTGTTTTTCATTTATCTCAAAAGTAAGACTGTAAAAATCGTATAAAATCACATAATTACCCAAAAATTCACATTAATAAACTGAAAACCACTTTTCACACTTTAACACAAATATAAGTCTATTTATCATGAGTTAAGGCTAAAACTATATTATTTACTAATTATTAACTCATGATAATGAAGACTTATCACTCACCATGTTATTATCTAAAGATGTGCCTTTAAATTTTAATGAGAAATATTTTGAGTCTTTTTCTAATATAAAAAGATTACTTACTGAGACACCTATTTTAAAAGCTCCTAATTGGTCCCTTACCTTTGAAATAATGTGTGATGCATTAAATTATGTAGTGGGAGCTGTTCTAGGACAAACAAAAGAGTCAAAACCCACAGTAATTTTATATGCTGGTAAAACTATATCCGATGCTCAATTAAATTATACCACGACTGAAAAAGAGTTGTTAGCTATAGTATTTTTGTTAGAAAGGTTTAAATCATATATTTTGGGAACTAAATTATTATTTATACTGATCATGAAATATTAAAATATTTGTTAAATAAGAAAGATGCAAAGCCATATTTATTAAGATAGATTTTATTATTATAAGAATTTGACTTAGAAATAAAAGATTAAAAAGGTTTCGAGAATGTTGTTGTTGACCATCTTTCTAGATTGAGTGATGTAGGAATAAATGTAGCACCTTACAAGATGCATTTTAACATGAACAATTGATGACAACTCAACATCAACCATCACCATGGTATGCACATATTGTTAATTTTCTGGTTTCTGGAAAAATTCTAGAACAGTGAGATAAGAATAGAAAACATCATTTCTTTTCTAAGATTAGAAATTATTTTTGGCATGATCCTGATTTATATTACTTGGGCAATGATGAAATTTTAAGGAGATGTGTTCCTAAAGAAGAATATCATAGCATTCTTAACATGTGTCATTCATCTAATTGTGGAGGACATTTCTTTAGACGAAAAACAACTGCAAAAAATTTTCAATGTGGTTTTTATTAGCCTACAATCATTAGATATTTTATATAATTTAGTAGAACATGTATTTCATGCCAATCTATAGGTAACATGAGGTAAAAAGATGAAATGCCCATAAGTAACATGTTAGTAGTCAAAAACATTTATGTATGGGGAATAGATTTCATGGGTCCCTTCCCATCAGCTGAAAATATGAATATATTTTCCTTGTTGTTGATTATGTGTCTATGGGTTAAAGTTATTTCTACTAGAACTAATGATCATAAAATCAGGATGAAACTTGTGCAAGAAAATATTTTTTTGAGATTTGGATGTCCTAGAGTGATTATTAGTGATGGAGGAATACATTTTACAAATAAACATTTCAGGGAACTATTGAAAAATAATGGAGTACACCATAGAATAGCCACTCCATATCATCCCCAAATAAATGGGCAAGCTGAAGTAACAAATAGGGAAATTCAAAGAATTTTGAGAAAAATAATTAGACCAGATAGGAAAGATTAGCCCACGAAATTACAAGATTGATTATGGGCTTATAAAATAGCTTATAAAAATCTCATAGGTATGTTCTCATTTTGTCTCATTTTTGAAAAGCCATGCCATCTTCCTATGGAAATAGAACATAAAGTATTATGGGTCTTTAAAAGTTTGTGTGGATAAAAAATCAACTAGTGGGCGTAGAATTTTTTAGCTACATGAACTAGAGGAGTTGAGAAATGAAGCTTATGAAAATAATAGAATATATAAAGAAAAAACTAAAACTTTTCATGATAAATATATTAGTAGAAAAAAAATTGATGTTGGACAAAAAGTGTGGTTATATGATTATAGGCTGAAATTATTCCTAAGAAAATTAAAATCAAAATGGACAGGGCCTCATGTGGTGAAAAAGACATGATCATAGGGCTATAATGAAAAAGTCCAGGAGAAGTGTAAGATGAAGTGAAAAATTAAAAACAAGGTTGAGGTGATGTCTTTCTAAGCTTTATCATTTATGACAACATTTTTAATGCTTAACTTTACATTTATGCATACTTCACTTGAAAATTATATTTTCTGCATATTTTGTTTTGATTTTTCTATGTCATTGATGACAATATCATTTTTAAGTTGGGGATTGAAGTATTAATTCTTAACTTATGCTGTAGGACGATTAAGAACATGTGTTTGCATTTTTTTTCATGCTCACTTCGAACAGCAACTAAAAAAAGAAAATTTGGAAAAACTAAAGCATCTATTTTCTAGTTTTCTGTCAGGAACAATAGATTGTCAAAAATAGTAGACAAAAAACAGCCCAAAATTTGAAATTCTGGAAACCCTTTTCTCACATTTCAATCCCCTAGACATTTATTATTGAAATTCGAAATTACAGCTATAAAGAGGATAATTTTGATTTATTTTTGACAAATTTATTGTTGCTAAAAACAGAATTGAAAACAGAAAGTAGAATTGTTAAAACTATCTAATTTACAAATTTCTTACATTATATTATATGCACGAAAAATTAAATCAATTAGATTGGTTGATACAAAAAGATACTAGGAAGATTATTATTGAGTCAAAAGAATGATTTAGTAGCATGAAATGTTGGAATACTCCTTGAATACATGATAGATAACATGGATTTGATTTTAAAGATTTTCACTTCATGATCTTGATGAATAATATTTACTTGATATGAAAATTTGATTGATCATTTGATTTTAATGAAGATTTTTGCACCCTGGTCCATAGGACTTGTGAGGAGAAATCACTTATTCGAAAAAGAAAAAGAGAGAGCAATGTGAAAAATCTAAAAATGAAGAGTACACATGGAGGGTGTGAGACATCATTCTCATTGTCGAAAATCGTACATAGAAAAACAATTGCTGCAAAATAAGTGGATAAAGTGAAAGCCCTGAAAATGAAGAGTACATATGGAAGGTGTGAGACATCATTCTTATTGTTGAAATTTGTCTATAAGAAAAGCTACTTATCCACTATATGTATATATATATATAAAAATATAAAAAAATAAGGAAGAAATATAGTGCAAATTTCAAAAATCAAGCCATGGAAAAAAAAAATATAGAATCAATATTATTCTTGGATGAGTATTGATAATTGGAACATCTTGTAAATATATCTATGAGTGAAGAAGTCATAAAGATGTGAATAGAAGAAGTGAAGTCTAGATTGTTATTCTAATGAGTGCTTAAACATTTAAGTGTTTAACATTATTCTTAAATACTTGATATAAGAATCCATAGTGTCTAAAGGTGCATCATTTCTAATTATATTTTTTTTATGCATTAAAATATGATGTTTAAGATTTGTGAATTTTTATTTTCATAATTCCATTACTAAGGGACTAGCAAGTATTTAAGTTGAGGGGTGTGATATGTCTTTATTATCATAAATTAATAATTAGTAGATAATATAATTTTAGCCATAACTCATGATAAATAGACTTATGTTTGCGTTAAAGTGTGAAAAGTGGTTTTCAATTGATTAACGTGAATTTTTGACTAATTATGTGATTTTCTACAAATTTATATGATTTTTATAGTCTTATTTTTTTGATAAATGAAGAAAAATAAATTAAAATAAAAATATAGTCAAATGAGGGGGACTCGTTGGCCAGCCAAGCCCGCAAACGTGTCAGAAGTGCAATCGGGGAGGAGCCACAAGTAAGGGCTCGAGTGACAAGAACTAATGGGGGCACGTGTGTGCCACTCCCCTTCCACATCACTAGTGGCCAGCCAACTGTGGGGCAAAGAGTGGCTATACACACGGAAGAAGGGGACTCATTACTTGCAAATATAATATTATTATATATTCACCTAAAACATCGGCACACAAGCAATGTGAGACTAAACCTACATCACATTTTCCCCCGAAAGGGTTCAAAGATTTTAATACTTAAAATACCCCTTCATTATGACAAAGATATACCATGATGATGTCACTTTATAAAGGCATTAGAGTACTTATTTCAATCTCACACATACAAACGGGCAACTAGCGTGGGTTCGAATCCTCCTAGAGCCAAAACTTATATTTTTATCTGATTATCGCAACTTTCCCGCAAATCGTTGATGAAAAATTAAACTGCCAAAATCATTAGATCATTAACAAAAATCTCATCAACACAATTTGCAAAGCATTGTTACTAAAATCGCTGAATGATTCGCGATAAAAGAATTGTGAATCTATCGAGTAAATCATCTCCGATTGATTAATGAACAAGCCATCATCAGGAAGAGGACGATCCGCTGGGAGACGAGTCACCACCTCCTGAGAGTGTACTGGATGCGATGAAAAGCCTCCTCTTGTTGCGTGGACTTAAGGATGAAGCTCCTTAACATGTGCCCCACCTCCATTCAGCTCCTCTCCGTCGAGTGACAGCCGCTAGAGAGCTACAAAATTGCCATTTTTCTTCTCTGTGGGGTGACAACCACCGAAGACAACTCAACGACCTATTTCATTGATCTTTAAACTTTGCAAGGAGATCTAGAGATTGCTCACGTCATCCTTGTCCAAAGAGAGCCTTCGAGGCCGTAGACACTACACGACGATCCTCCTAAACGCTCAAAATTCTAGTGCATTGTCGACACATTGCCGCCGTGACACCGGAACTTTGTTTTCTTACTTTCAACTTAATTTCCACTTTATTTAGTAATAATTTGTGTGATTTAAATTTACCAAGCTATACTTCATTCAATTAAGACTCTTCTAGATTTTACAGATCTGAATTTGATCAATTAAATCATCTGTAATCGCTTACGTAAGAATCGCCAGGAGGAACTCTGTTTCTACTCGAATCGCGTTTGTCGGGCGCTAATGTCATCCTAACGTCTACACCCTTATTTCCCTTTTCGTGAGTTTAAATATATTTTATTTTCATTTCTTAGTATAAAATTCATAGAAAATCGTATTCTTTAAGAAAACTTCTGAAAACTTACCTGGTAAGATCAACTTGAAAAATTATCACTATTTTTAAAAGTTTAATTGAATTATAGTTGATATATTTTTTCAAAAATACTTCTAAATATCCAAAAAATAATATTTTCTAGTTTTATAAATTTTAAATTTACGTGATTTACTATACAACAACTAAGTCACATCAAGTACTCATCATCCACTAGCTCATAATTTTACCCCTTCTTATTCACGTTCAGTCTCCAATTTCAGTCCACAATATCCTAATTCATATCAAAATCAATATGATATAAATTCGAATTTGATGCAAAAAATTTATGGGACAAATGATGCAGTAATTTTAAGAAATAAATACATCTATGATGAAGATGATTGAGCAAACTAGGCAAGAAAAGTAGCAAGTAAACCTTAGATTAGAAAAAGAGATAGGTAAGGTAGCCTTGGCCAATTCAAAAAGTGAAACATGTCATCTTCCTAGTCAACGTATTATGAACCCACGAAATCAGCCTTCTAGTAGCCATGAACCATCTACATCTCAAGGTTTCAAAAATGTAGAAGTGGTGACCACTTTAAGGAATGGAAAGCAACTCAACAATCCATATGCACCAGATTTTTTAGAAAAATAAATTCATGATGATGAAGTGTTTAATGATGATGATAATGATCACAATAGTTTACTTTCTGATGATGAGTATTTAGAGGAAGAAAAATAAGAATCAAAAGAAGAAAAATCAAAGGTAGACATACCACCCATTCCTATTTTATCACACCAAGATGAACTTAGAAAAATAGTTCCCTTTCTTAAGGCATTAGAACCAAAACTTAGGAAAAGAGCTGAACCTAATGAAGAGCTTATGGAAATATTTAAACAAGTTCACATCTCTATTTCTTTAGTAGATACAATTAAACATATACCTACATATGAGAATTTTTTAAAATAATTATGCACACCTCATATGTCACCTTGGAAGATATCTTTATTCGAAAAGGCTAGTGCCATTATTTACCATTCTTTGCCTAAGAAATGTAAGGATCCAAGAGCACCTCTCATCTCATATAAAGTGGGTGAAACTACATTTAGAAATGTCTTCTTACATTTGGGAGCAAGTGTTAATTTATTACCTTTGGCTGTTTTTAAAAATTTAAAACTAAGAGAACTAAAACCAACTTTAGTGGAACTTCAGCTAGTTGTAGATCCATTAAAACACTTATGGGTATTCTAGAAGATGCCATCATCAATGTTAAAAGATGTAGATTTTTAGTGAAATTTTTGATTTTAGATAATCTTACTCATGCACCAATCATCTTAGGGTGCCCATTTCTTGCCACACCCAAAGCAAATATTGATTACAAAAATAGGATTATAAATATGAAACATGAAGGCCAAAATATCTCTTTAGATATTTTTAAAAGTTCAAGATTTTTATAAAAGGAAGATGATAATTATGAAGATATTAAGATAATTGATTATTGCATAGAGGAATTGAATTATGTTCAGCAAGTTGACCAATTATTTTTCCATTCCATGCCGATGCATTAGGTCAAAAATGTTATATGAAAGAGGCATTAGATGATGACATAACATTCATGAAATGATCATAGACTGGTGTTTGGTTGAAGACATTAAACTTAGCACTGATTGGGAGGCAACTAAATAATTTTAGTTTTGCAGAATTTAATTTGTGTTTTGTAGTTAACAAATTTAGAATTTCGTTGCTCCTTATTGAATTTTAGTATTACCTCATACATTTATGTTTTATCATGTTATACTTGTTGATTTATAAGTATATATCTTTTGCTTTGCAATTTAATTTAATAATATATTTCATGTCATTGAGGATAATTGAGGGGAGCAAAGAAAATTCAGTTAGATTTATTTCATGAATAATTAGCATACAAGAAAAATTTGGAACTAATATTGATGAATTCATAGATTTTTACATTTTTCTTATAAGATGGTAAATTCATATAATTATGAAGGTTAAAGTGTGTTAGATTTAGTGAGTTCAATTGATAGAAAAAAAAATGTAGTACATTGAAGGATGAAATATTTTCAAAATATATCTTGATGATTATGATCCATATGTTATGAATTCGCATTTTGAATTAGTAGGAATCATGAAGTTGGATGTGATGAGGTTGAAATTGTATAAAAATTATTGGAAACTAGACATTCTTAGTATGTGGAATCTAAAGTAGTTGACCATTTTTCTTATATATATATATATATAGAAAAAAAAATCATTATATGTTAGAGTGTAAGACTCAACTCACAAAAAAATATATATATAGGGACTTCCTACTTGTCTCATAGAAACTTTTCTACATGTGAGATTAGGATAAGATTAAAAAAAAAAGTGAGTGCAAATGCTTCTTGGGGATTTCCCACTTCTCTCGTGGAGGCTTTCCATATGTGAGATTTAGACATGAAAAAGAAGCTATATCGGAAAAGTTACTTGCCTATGATGTTTATAATAATAATAATGATGAAAGACAAATGGAATGCGCTACTTGGGTGCATGAATCTAAAAGAGAAGGCTAAAGATAGTTTGAAAACTTAAGTAAACTTTTGATCATTTAATTAGTGATTTCTTAAAATGAAAGATGTTGAATTTCATACATTGAAAAGAATGAAAGTTAAGATGAATATTTTTTGAAATAGTTCATTTGGATATCAAAATATTTTTTACATTTTTATCTTGTTGGAAACTATTTTGAATCACATGCATATCTGATTATTTATTTGAATATCATCTCTAGTGAAAAAATGAGGAAAAAAATGATTCATGTAAAAGAATTAATAAATAGCTTTAACTTTATAAGTCTTTTTCTTACTGCTAGGGACTAGAAAAATTCAAAGTTGGAGGTATTTGTTAAAGCTAGATTTTTGTGTTTAATTAGTTTTATTATTTTATTTTATTTTTTTAACTTACAGAATAAATATAGGATATTTTGTTAATTTTATAAGTTCAAAGTTAAAATACTTAGCACATGTCACCATCTAGATTAATTTTTGGTAAAGCATGTCATAGAGCATATTGGGCAATTTAAAGATTGAATTTATCTATTGATGATGCTGAAAAAAATGATTCCTTGAATTGTATGAATTAAATGAGATTTGAAATGAGGCATATGAGGATTTTAAGATTTATAAAGTTAAAATGAAAGTATTTCGTGACAAATAATTAAGAAGAAGAGATTCAAACTCTATAATTCTATATTCAAACTCTTTTCTAGTATGTTAAAATCTAGATGGGATGATCTATTTATTATTATCAAAGTTTTTGAATGTGGTATTGTTTTAATTGAAGATTCAAAAATAAGACAACAAATAAAAGTGAATGGACAAAGATTGAAACCTTATGTAGAAAATGGTTCACTTTCTCCACCAATCTCAATCAATTTTAAGAAGTCATCTCATAAAACTAATGATTTTCTTAACTCCACTGCACAAGCTTAATAGTTACTTTCTTTTTAATTTTTATTTTAGTATTTTTCTTTCGTGTGTGCTCTATTTTGTGTTTGTGTTTTCTTTTCTATGTAGGAGGGCCTTGAAATCTCCATGATTTTGAGCTGTTGAGAGAGATGATCATAGAGTCCACAAAGAGCTACCTCCATTCTCATAAATGAAGCATCTACCTTTGGTTTGAAAAATTTTACTTGTGTTCATTCTTTCCACATGTATTGAAAACCATGCATAGATGAAGTGGGGGGTATGAGTCATTTACATGTCTTCTATAAAAATTTAAAATTCTTCATGTTACTAATGCAAATTATTTTCTACTGAGTGGAAGGTATCTATTCATAAAAAAAAATTCAAGAGTTATCAACCCACCTTAATGAGTCCATTCACCTAGAAATCCTAGAATTTAGGGCATAGAGGTTAGGCTATTGCAGAAAATTGAGATCAACTCAGAATGACACAACCGTGAAACTTAGATCAACTATGAGGATTTTTATATAATAGATGACCTCCTAGGTGAGATATCCAATGAGCATAAAAAGAATATGAGAAATCAAAAGGTTGAAGTACTATTGATGTGGATTAGAGAGAATTGAGTGATAAGAAATTTAAACCCCTTACCCTATGTTAGTCGATCTTATTTCATGTGTGGATTCTCATTGATCAAAAAAATTCTTTTTGGAAATAGTGAAAGGACATTGAATCTTAGGTAAGAATGATACTCATATATTTTCTATCCATTATACCTTATTCAGTTCCAATATCTAATCCAACCATACCATTTTATCTCTTTATAATACCTAAATTTACCTTTCAGATTTTCACAATTAGGTCACCCTCATTCGACTCATTTTTCTTACCCACTTATGATGGTTGTTATCCCAAATAGTACTTATTCTTTTCATATGTCATTTATTTCTTTCATACTCATCGTTCTCAATATTTCCTCATCCTCTTCTAAGTTTAAATGTTTGAGTTAAGATTTTCATTTATCAAAAAAAAAAGAGAGAGAAAAGAAAAAAAAATAATGAGAAGAATAGAGGAAAGAAAAAATAATGAAAGAGAAGATATCAGTGGAGAATTCTTTTGCCTACTTATTCTATGTTCTCAAATGACACTATGTAATTCTTTTCAATCCAAGCATCTTGATTTGGAAGTATAACTATCATGAGTGGAACTTAGCCATTGATTGCGTAACCTATCATTACCACTATATTAAACCATGCCCTTCAACCCATAACCTACCTTATTAGTGTATTGTCTTCCCCATTACCTCTATTTATCCCACTTTTCTTGTATCACATCTTTTATCCTCTTTTATTCTGTACCATAAGGAGCAGATGTCTTTACATTAATTTTCTTGAAGGGAAGAAAGATTAAAGAGGATTCTTAAACACCAAGTAGCCACCATATACAAGAGAGAGAAAGAGAGAAATCTATTTGAAGGGGATAAAGATTACACACATCATTGAAAAGTGAGAATCTTTTCATGCCTATAGTATCCTACCTAGAAATATGTTCATTCCTCTTTATTGCTTGTGACTCTTTCTAAAAACTCCTAAGAGGCTGTCCAAGATGATAGAATCTGGACCTCCATGGGTTATGATTATATGGCGAGGTGTGATCAATACTTTGAACATTCTTGTCTTCATATTTCAAGATTGAAAAGTGAAAAGATAATTTAACGAGAACTTAAAGGAAATTACTAAGGCACTAGTAATGAGTAAAGTGGGAGGTATTTGATAATTATAAATTAGTAATCACATCTATACATTAATATCTTATATATAGATGCTAATTAATAAGTAGATAATATAATTATACATGTGTTACCAACTCATTATGATATTTATAATATTTTATCATTTAAATCTTAATATATATTATTTTATTTATATTATGAGACTAATCCCACTTGACTTTTATGAAGTCAAATAGTGATTTTCTCATATTTTCTTGATAATTATTTAATTTCTAAGACTTAGGTGAGTTCTTATTATGAGTTAGAAGTAGTAGAAGAAGCCCAAACCTTCAGTTCAAGAAGAAGCCCAAGTCTTCAGTTAGAAGAGGCCCAAGTCTTATGAAGAGGGTTGTCCTAATATGATTATGGGCCTAAGAGAGGTGTCACCTTGGCCTAACCTATTTAGACTTAAAAAGGTTATTAAGAGATGAGATCTAGGCCGTCCATCTTAGAGCATCTTAAGATGAAATTAAGAGGAGGATTAGAGTGTTGTCCTTATAGGAGAATCTAGGTCATTCACCAAGAGAGTTAATTATTAATCATAATCGTCTATTAGAGAGGCATAATTCTCTAGAGATTTAAGACATCTCATCTTCTTCTTGGAGAACACTTTTTGGCTCTCTCTCTAGTAGTGGCTAGTCGAAAGAAAAAAGAGAGAAATCAAGGTCCGGTCAACAACATTCTTATGCTCAAGATCATCGTGGAGAAGAGACTACTTGGAGTGCATCAAGATCATCATGGATCAAGCATCACTTGGCTTAGGATTAGCGCACAATGAGGTTTGTGTAAGATCTAGATATGGAATGTTCTTGTAATATTCTCTATGTATAGATTAACTCTTAGTTCAAACTAGTTTTACTCTTTATTTTATCATTCCATAGTGTTAGATTCATTCTTTTTCATTGGCCACATTTTTCATTTCTCTTGTTTTCACCCTTTTTAGATTTAATTTCATCTTTTACAATCTCAAGTAAATATATATATAGGAAATAAAATAAGTAAAATTCTTACTCTCATTACCCACGCTCCATGAGGATTGACCCTTATTTATCTTATATAGAAGAGTGAGGTTTTATAAATATTATTTGTATGAACTTGATTGCATCACAACAACATATCTAACCTCTAAATCGAGTTCATCACTCTTCCTCTTCTTCTTCTTCTCTTTCTTCTTCTCATTGGGCCATCCTTTGTAGGTAGATCCTCTTACTTACTGGTAGGGATCCATTGGTCTTAGATCTAATATTTCATGTTGGATCCAAGAGAGGATGAAGGCGCCAATTGACTTAGAGTTGAATTCTTTGAGGTGGAAGAACATTAATTCTTACACTTCTTCTTAGAAGGGTTAACCTCAAAAGTTGAGCCTCTAGTTGACCATCTTCCATTGAATTTTGTTGACTTTTTTGAGTAGAAGACTCTTGATTAGATCCAATGATTTCATCAATATTGGTCCACAACTATGATATGATTTTTTAATCTATTAATACAAGTCTCGAATTCAGTATCTCCAGATTTAGGCCATGAGTTCTAAAGGTGATCAAATAACCCTCCTTTAATAACAACCCTTACTATTATCAGTCAAAAATAATTCCAACCATCTGTGGTCTATTTGAGATATAGTAAGCAAAATCTCTATGGGTATCATTTTGATCAGATCTTAAGACTGAGATTGTCTTAAATTAGAATCAGCCAAGTGAATTGTAGTTCTACTAAAAGTGCATACTCATGCAAAGCAGGGAAGAAAAAAGGGTGTCTATTTGTGCATGATATTCAAGAGAAGATAAGGAAACTTTACAAGGGCTGTAGTTCAAGGTAATTGGAGGTTTCACCATCTATGAGACAATGCTATGTCTGATGAACCTATGCTGAAGCGCTTTCCACGTTCATTTTCTTGAATTTCTTCTCAGAATTTAATGCATATAATACCTGACTGGTATATATTCACCATCCCTCAAGTTAGAAACAGGGTGCAAAACTTTATTACTATTTTTCAAAATATTTTCGAAAAGCTCTTAATTTTTCACCGGTGTATCCCTTTTTTCCAATAGATCCTCGGTTTTCTTCTTAAAAACCTCAGTAATTTTTATTCGTGCAATAGATATTTCAGTTTATTTTGCTCTCTTTATGGTTTAGTGATCTTCAGTATTTTAGTATCTTCTCTTAAGCTTCACTGCTTATATTAAGAAATTTTCTCAACACAATGTCGAAAGTGGGTGTCATATGGATTGACTTGCAGAAGATTATGACGATGATCCAGAGTCCCGGACGATGACGTTCTCGTGATCATTTTCCCTGACAGCATCTGTGAAACCTAGCCGGAACTCACCACGCTATCGTCAAAAAGCCTTCTGTTGTCCATTTCTTTTCGTTTCCACTGAAAAGAACAGTATGTGTCGTCGTGTATGGTCTCAAAGACCGGCAGGTCACGGGATCTCGGCTTTCCGAAGGCTGAATAAAACGTGGAAACATCAAATGTGGAGACATAGAGGGAGAAGGTCATAAAAGAAAGAAAGAGGGATAGGGAATAGGGGAGTGATGGGTGGGGAGATTGAGGATTTACGTACCCCAAGATCTGTGTCTCCCCAATAATATATGCTTATTGGAACCCCCAGAAGCCTCAACTATGCGGGCATACATCCCGTTCAACGGAGTACAATAGCGGGCACAGAACTCAAAAGCTCAGAAAGAGAGAGAGAAAGAGAGAGAGAGAGAGAGAGAGAGAGAGAGAGAGAGATGGGGGAGGGGGGGGAGGGGGGAAGGGCAGTAGACCTCGTAAAGTATTCAGTGACAAAGGAAAGTCAACGTTGCCCCTGGGGGAAGGATCTTGGAAACTCGTGGGATATACACCAAGGGCACGGAGGTGCATAAGAAGAGTTGAAGTCGACATCGCATCTTCCGTCGAGGCGACTCTTCCTATCTTCCTCCATCTCTAAGCAGTCAAGCAGCCGAAGGATTCACCTGCAGTTATTATCAACATGCCCCATTAAACTCGTTAAAACTAGTCTCGTGATTTTAAACTTTACACGAGGTACGGCGTTACGCACTGAAATTTAGCTTATTTCGCGTAGAAGCTGAGGACGTCTCTCTCTCTCTCTCTCTCTCTCTCTCTCACACACACACACACACTACATGAGGCATTGACTGAATAATATCCACGGGCACATGTGGCGGCTAATTAAATTCAATGAGAGTAAGGGAAAAAGAAGAAAATGAAGCTTCGTCCTATTAATATTAAACCAAGTTTGTCCTATCTCTGAAATAAAATGGATTATTCCATAGGTTCACCGATGAACTATCATGTATTCCATCACCATTATTTTTCTAATTGATATCCAGTCTTTCACCATCTCCACGTATGGTTAGAATCGGATTCAAGATTTCACCAAATATCAGTTCTTGGGTTTTAAAAATCAGATTAAATGTGGCCCACCTTGAACTCATGGTTTCTGATCAATGGACTAGTCCATTTTTCATGCATATTCTACTTTTCACCTAGTCTATATATTTAAAGTACTTTTTTATTAATAAAAAACCAAGTTGTTGCTAGACTGAATGGATTTTGACGGTTCCATGGCTTTTGAGTTTCGTTAGCAAACTACCTCCAAATGTTCATATAACTCGAAAAAAAAGTAGAAAGGTCGCTGTTATCGGTTGCATCATCGTTATAACATCTTCCATTGTTTGGGTTAGATTGGTGAAAAAAAATAATAGCTATATAACCTAGTGTTTTAAAGACCAAACTTGATTAAATTGTATGAATAGCTTGATTTCTTGCTGGAGGATCATCTCTCATAAGTCAGAATTCGAATAGTTTTCATAAATCATTATAAATTATAGTTATTTGTATTATTAAATTAAAGATGGATGTGGCTCGGTAGCCTTTAAGATGGTGAGGACGTAGACCATTTCAAAAAGAGGTATAACTACAAATAAACTCGTTTCAGATGTAGAATTCCTTAGTTATCTTCGGAGGATATCCTGAAGGCTAGCGCTCATGACCGTCCATCGAGTGGGCCTATATCTTCGTCAGATGCACCTACCGTTTAGACTCATGTGGACAGCTGCCCGTTGAATAGAGAAGCTTCTACCCTACCTTCCTGTGGTCTTCTCTCCTAGTTGTCGGCCTCGTCGACAGCACCCTCGTTCTCGATCCCCAGACGCACCGCGTGAGCCCTCTCTCTCTCTCTCTCTCTCTCTCTCTCTCTCTCTCTCTCTCTCCTGCTTAGCTCTGAAGTAAGCCACAAGATTGTTAGCGGCCATTTCAAACCTGAACCCTTCCAACGAAGAGAAATATTTAATCAAGAGGCAGATCAAGAGACGAAATCAAGAGGCAGATCGAGAGGCGGATAGAATTCTCGTCTGCCCTCCATGGGGAAGCGAGAAGCTATGAGCAAGAAGCTGGAGTCGTGGCTTGGTAGGAGTTTCAAGGCCACCAAGCTCCGGTCATACCTGGGGATCACCATCACCCGCCTCTCCGTCCTCCGCAACCAGCGACGGGTCAGGTGGGAGCAGGCCCGCTGCGACGTCGCCGAGTTCCTCCGACAGGGCCAGCACGAGCGAGCCCTTCTCCGGGTACTCTATCTCTCTCTCTCTCCTCTCATCCCCCCTCTCTCTCCCTATCTTCCCATCTCTCCATCTCCCCCTCTTCCTCCCTCTCTCCTCTCTCTCTCTCTCCCTCTATTTCTCCCCTCATCCCCCCTCACTCTTCTTCTCTTCCCATCTCTCTATCTCTCCCCATCCTCTGCCTCTCTCTCTCTCTCTCTCTCTCTCTCCTCCCCCTCATGTCTCTCCCTCTTACTCTCTCTCTTCCCCTCTCTTTTCGCTCTCTTTCCCCTTCCCCTCTACCTCTGTACCCAAGTCACCGCCTCGGTGCTGCAGACCGATCACATCATCAAGGAGCAGAACATGCTGGACGCGTTTGACATGGTGGAGAGCTACTGCCACATCCTTTCCGAGAGAGCTGACCTACTCGAGAGCCACAGGTGAGCCATCTCCTCCACCTGATATCAACTCCAATCTGCATCAAGTCATATAATCCCGATCCCTTAACAGTCTGTATCATCATGTCCGATCTACCAGAGAGTGCCCAGAAGAGCTCCGAGAGACAATCTCCAGCCTGGTCTTCGCAGACTCTAGATGCGGCCAGCTTCCGGAGCTCCACGAAGTCCGCTCGATCCTTGCCTCGCGATTGGGGAAGGAGTTCGTCTCGTCGGCCGTGGAGCTCCGTAACAGCTGCGGAGTCAACCCTACCGTGAGATAACCTTCACCTTCTCCCTCTTCTCCTAGGTTAAAAAACGATGAATTAAGTCTCTGAAAATCTGATCGAACCATTGCTAATTAGTCTTGATCAACTCAGATTATACAGAAGCTGTCGACCAAGCAACCGACTGTCGAGATGAAGTGGAAGGTGGTCAAGGACATGGCGGCCGAGCTGGGGATCGACCTCCCCCTCCAGGAACCCTCACCAGAGATCCCCACGGTGAGATAACTCAGTCAAGATGGACGATTTTTCCACGTCGTTTTCCATCAAAAATTTTCTATTTTCCGGTCATCTTCATCTAAATCAACCGCGAATTATTATAATATGTTCCACCATCTTTTTCTATTTTTGCAGGAAGCCAAGGGACACCGGGGCGAGACTCCGAGAGGGCATCCCCTGACTGAGAAGGTCGCCGGCGCCGATGATATCCTGTCGGAGTCGGTGAAGGCAAAGCAGAAGTACAAGGACGCAACCAGTGCAGCTCAGGCAGCGTTCGAGTCGGCGGCATATGCCGCCGCCGCCGCTAGGGCGGCGGTGGAGCTGTCGAGGTCGGAGTCCCAAAACCGTGGCGGCTCCAGCGGCCAGTCCACTCCACGCACTCCTCGGAAAGCCACCACACCGGACGGACAAGGTGGCCGTAGCTTGACGGAGAAGGCGCAACCTTTCCGGACTTACAGTTCAGGTTCAGAGTCTTCTCCGGCGAAACGAGTAATCTTCTCCAGCGAAGGGGAGTTAGCATCTCCTTCGAGCTCCAAATCCGGCGACATTCCCTGGCAGAGGGAGAAGACGAGGGGATACGACCGCATCGTCGGAGAGAAAAATTCTGACGAAGGAGTGGGGAAACTCAATGACCAATCTCAGGCGCCGGCGATAGAAACCGGATGGAGGGCGGTCCCCGGCAGCCCATCTCGCCGGAAGCACTATGAAGAGGACAGCTCGTCTTCCGACGATGACGAGATCACCCCCCGGAAGACGGCGCTGCAGAGGTCAAACCAGGAGAAGCGACAACAGGAATTTCCCAAATCAGGGTTAGCGCACTGGAAGGAGGAAGATGACCAGGAGGAAGACGAAGAAGGCCCAGCAACCCGCCAGGCTGCGAGACTGAAAGGAGAACAAAGACCAAGAATTCGTGATCCCCTTCTCCAGAAGCGCCAGGGAATGGAGAACAGACCGGTTTCCATGAGGACCAGGAGAAGCGCGTTCTAGCCTTGGACCCCATGCTTCTATTTTCCTCTCCTGTTGAACTCCGACTGTATAGGTACGAGCAGGATTATCAAGACTGCTGAGGTATTAAGTTGATGTATCCAGTTTGTGGAATGGATTACATATCCTGAACTATACAGTTTTACAAACGTCATAGCTGAATTTCAATCGAAATAAACCTTCTTGGCTCAACCCTCTCTAAGACTTATGATTAATTTTCCACAGAATTATAATTCTAAAAGTAGTAAAAAGAGTGAATTATAGGCTCTTGTAGATCACCAGTCGAATACGCAGCATGAGCTGCACTGGAACTTGCGTCGGCCTTACTTTCAACTAAGAGAGATCATTGTGAGTCTCCTCAGCATTGAATCTATAAGAGAGATAATATATACGAAAAAATGAATATATATGATGCGTTAGATGGTCATGAAAATAATTTTCTTCGTGTATAATTTTCACATCGGCTGCCCAAGACTGGTATTGCAAAGCTGGGAAGGAACTATGCCTTCTGAACTCCTAAGCCCCATTGATTGGATCGCAGTGAAACCTGGGCCTGGCCTAGATGAACATGACGTCAGACCAAGACTTGCCAAACTTAGAGATTAAGGGCATCTACAAGAAAAAGATCTCACTCAATTTAGGGAACACTCCCATCCGAAACCCTAGAGTCAGTCCAAGGGATCGTCATCTTCCTCCTCCGTCACCTACAAGAAAGGGATGGAGAAGCCCGGGTGGGGCTGTAATGTGTCGACCCGGAGATCCTCAGCTCCTTGCAGACTCGATCTAACATGTCGAGGAAGTCCCTGACGATCACAAAAATCCCCAGCGGGTTCGCCTCCTCTTTGCCCACATCGCCATGGAAATACTCGGTGATGTCCCTGGCCAGCCCCAGGACTCGCCCTTCTTCTTCCTTGAGCTCCCTGAGGACCCCTTCGGCCTGTGAAGAGAAGGAGCTCATGGAGTCCACGAAGCCCTCTCCCATCGCATCGGTGCTCCGGCAACGCCCCAGCAGCCTCTGCAACTCTTCCAGCATGGCGGCGAGGTTGGCACCGGAGCTGGCCAGGACTTGCATGTCCATTCCGGCCGTCTTCTTCACGTGGTGGAGCTCCGCGCTGAGCCCGGAGACAAGGTCCAGCCCCGTTGCTCTGCAATCGTCCTCCTTCTCCGTCGCCGGCGAGCCACCAGCGGCGGCGCCGCCGCCCCCTTCCGACCGGACGATCTCCTGGACGACGAAGTGAAGAAGCGTGGTCTTCCCGTCGGTGCCCTTCACGTGAGCGAGCTTCAGCAGGGCGTTGAGCTTGAATGCCCTCGCGCCGCCCCTTATCGTCCCCACATTCATCCGATTCCCCGTCTTCAACACCGCTTCGAGCAGCCTCATGAACAGCCTGCTGGATCTCAGCTCCCTGCAAGCTTCCTGAATTACCCCCGCAGAGTCAGCGATAAAGACGGAGAAAGCTTCAGAATAACTCCAATGGCGGATCTCGTATCCTCACCTCCAGGGTTTCGTAGGAGTCTCTGAGAAACGATGCTTCGTCCTCGAAGCTCTCCCTGAACAGCATAACCTGAATCCTGGAGAAGGAGAAAGGGACGGAGAGGACCTCCCTGAGGAACCTCTCGGCCGGGTCGAGCTCCCCGTTGGCGTTCCCCTCAAACCGTAACAGCTTCTCCTGTTCTTCTTCCGTCGGCGCCATATTCGCCAGAGCTTCCATCTGCTGCACGCTCAACCCAGAGCCTGCTCAACCAGGAACAAGAAACAGCTAGATTGAGTCACAGATTTCTTCGACGATCAGTTTTTTTTTATTATTATTTGACATAAATTCTCTTTTCCATTTCGAAGATCTCAAGATTCCACGATAATCGGAAAAAATGCATTTTGTATTTTCGCGCCAAATTTATAATTAAGGTCATGTCTTATAAAGCAGAATTAATCGGATACAACAAAAGACGGCTTCATATTCTTTGCAAATCATAATTTCATCGGGTCTTCGAAAAACCCATAACTTTATTGTGCCCAATGAGCTTGTGCAAGCGTTTTTTATAAAATAAACGCTTAACGAGCTTTGACAACCGGAATGAGCTCAGAAGTTGAAATCGGATGCTAAATTAGGGTAGTAGCTGACCTTGCGTCAGGGCGCGGCGGACCTGATCTGACGTGGCGTTGACCGCCTTCAAGAGGATGGTGAGGTTCTGCAGCCTTTTGGGCTCGAGCAGGCGCTTCCCAGGGGAGGAGGTCGGCTTCCCTGGTGCGCCCTCCTCGCTCCTCCCCGAGCTCTGCAAGTTGTAGCTGAAAAGCGAGCCGATGGTCTCCTCGTCCAGCCTGCAACTCCGAGCTCCCGGTCAACGGCGGCGCCGGAGAAGGAGGAGGAGGAAGAGGAGGATCTTACTCGAAGGAGCTCGATCGGATCTTGTCCCACACCATGGACCGGTCGGAGGCGGCGCGGACCTTGTCCCAATGCAGCGGCTTCAGCTTCGGCAAGGGGGAGCCGTCCTTCCCCACTGCGGCGGAGGATGGCGGTGGCAGCGGCAGCGCCACCTTCTTCGACGATGGAGGCGGCGGCGGCGGCGGCGGCGGCGGCGGCGGTGGTGGTGGCGGTGGCGGTGGCGGAGGGTTTCTTTTGCTCGAAAGGGACGGCGAAACGGCGGCGGGAGGCGGTGGCGGAGCTCGAGGCGGCGTCTGTGGGAGGGCTGGCGTCACCGCCCGTGGCGGAGATGACGACGGCGATGGCGAAAGGGGAGAATGGGGGGAGATGGAGTGGAAGGAATCTGAGTCGCCGCCGTCATCGTCGTCCTTTCCAGGGCTGCCGGAAAAATGCTCCTCTGCTACGCCGGTCGCCCGAGGAGGACTCCCCCCCTCGAAGACGTCGAGGTAGAAGCTCTGCGTGGCCGGGTCGAAGCTCACCTTCTCCATGGAGTTGCAGAGGTTCGTCCTCTTGGGGAGCGCTCGGCCCTTGCTACGGTGGCGGAGCAGAAGAAGGGCCGCACAGGCGGCGATGGCGAGCGCCGCCAAGGCGGAGGCTGCGACGGCGACGACCACACGGAGGAGCTTGGCCGCGGAGGAGCTTCCATGGCGGAGCTCCTCCTCCCGGAGCGGCGGGAGACGGCTGGGACGGGGCAAGGGAGAGGTTGAGAACCCCAAGAACGGCCGCTGCACTGCCCAAATCGGTGCCGGCGCCGGAGACGGAGACGGAGACAGAGATGGAGCAGATCCCCTCCTCATAGGGTAGCCCCCAGTGGTCCTCAAGCCCAGTAGCAGTCTGAACTTCTCCAGCACAGCGCTGCCATCGGCATTGTCCTCTCCAGACACGGCCACGGCCATCGTCTTTCCGGCATGGAATCCGGCACCATCCACGGGGCGAGAGCAGAAGACGAAGAAGGCGGTAGCAAGGAAGACGATGAAACGGAGAGCCTTGTGAGCTGAACCCATCTTCCCTTGCTCTCAGGCCCCCATTACAGCACCAGCCAACCTCTCAGGCCAGAGAGAGAGAGAGAGAGAGAGAGAGAGAGAGAGAGAGAGGGGTAGTCAGAGAGAGAAGGGCTTGAGAGAGGCCCTAGCTAACCGGCTGCTCTCTCTCCCTCTCTCTCTCTCTCTCTCTCGCTAGCAGCGGAGGAGAAGAAGAAGAGAGGCAGCCATGATGCCTTAAATGCCACTCCAAGGAAGGCTCTGCCAGAGCAGGTCAGGCAGTAATGGCGGCCACACTCTTGCCCTTTCATCCTCCTTCCTCCCTCAGCAGCTGTAGGCCCCCTTCGTCCTCGCCATGGCTCCTTCTTCAAGGTCCCCCTCTGCAACTCGCTGGCTTATTCGATCAGGAAAAAGACAAAAATGATGTTTTCCAATCTACCCTCGTCTTTCTACTGCGTGGCCTGACTTTTTCCGTACCTCACAGTGAACTCCACTGTTTTTGACTTATTAACTCAGACTCTTTATATTCTTCCTAACATACAGTCAAGAGGGTGAACGGGCTGCCCCGGAGGAGGCCACTCTAAGCCCAGCCCGCTCCTCTTCCTGATAAGTCAATGCCGGCCCTCGACCGGCACTAGTCTAGAGCGAGAGAGAGAGAGAGAGAAAGAGAGAGGACTGTAGGAGCCATAGACATGGAATCTTAGACTATATTCTAGAGGTTGACATGGATGTAAGCTAATGGCCCGTTGACACTCCGAGGAATCAGTTATAAAAACCGGGGTAATTCATATTTTAGTGGTTATTTATTAACGGAACTTACAACTAATCCTATTCAGTTTTCTAACCGGTTTATTTTCAAAAACTATGAATGATATTTCGTCTTGTTCTTGAGGAAGCTGATAAAAGGAAAGGTCAACGCTGCTTCATGTAAACTATTCCCTGGGGTAAGTCAACAGGCCGGGTCAGCCCGGGTCGGCCCGAGTTTGCCAAGCAAGGCCGGACTGCATTCCGTCGGAGAAAAGGCAGGCCAATAGAAGAGAGAGAGAGAGAGAGAGAGAGAGACGTGGAAAGAGAATATGCTCCGTTATGGGGCGGGCCTTACGAAAGCCCGAGACAGAACGCAGAAGGGAACACCGCAGGGGGCTCTCTTTATCCCCCGTCTTAACCTCTTCCTGAGGTTGGGGACAGCTAGATCCTGTCAATCTCTCTCTCTCTCTCTCTCTCCCCGTCTCTCCGTCTCCCTCTGTCCCGTGATGGGTTTCCTGCGGAGGCGACTGCGCCTCAAGGGAAAGGGAGGCGGACTCCTGGTGACTCGGACAGAGTGATTGTCCTCCCCCTCATCTCTCTCTTCCTCTCGCTCTCTCTCTCTCGGGATAATATATCAGGTATGTAATTATATAAGTATCGGCGGAACCATTTTTGTAGTTAATTCACGTTTATTGGAAGGCTATTTATTTCAAATACCCTGTAAAGCATGGAATTTGCATACGCTATATTTAATGACTGGTGAATGATCGGAGAGAGTAGAGAGCGGGGGAAGGTAGGGTGTCCTAGTGAGAGACGGAGAACAAGAGAAGGAGAAAAAACCAAGGAGAAAGAGACAGGACTCGAAAGAGAGGGAAAGGTAGAGAGCTAGAGAGGACGAGAAAACTATAGAGAAAGGGACAAAGAACTAGAGAGAGAGAGAGAGAGAGAAGGGGGTAAAATGAGAGCTAGAGAGGGGGACCAGGGAGATGAAACCGAGGAGGAAATATACAGAGACCAATAACTGGAGAGAGAGGAAGAGAGTGAGACAGAAAGAGAGGGAGAGGACCACAGATGGCGTTGCCTTAGCGTGGCGGTCACGAGAGACCGTGGATCGGACAGGGCCTCCGTAGAAGGCGAAAACCAGGTCTCCAAGTACCCCACTAAACACTAACCGCAGGCAGTCGGTGGCCTTCTTCGCACGGGCGACGACTGGATGAAACGTGTAGGGCAAGCAGACCTCCAACAATCTGTCATCAGGTTATCTTTTTTCTCTCTCCTCATCTTCTTATACACGCATTCCTGAAACAAGGTAAACTGGTAGATCCGAATGGAGTATCATGTGGGTTTGATCATCCTTCTCGAACCGGATCAGGTACTGTAGACTGCGAGCAAGATCGGCAGTGGTCATCGAGATTCTAATGGACCCAGACTCATATGAATCCTGGGTCAAGCCTAAAATATCTGGCCTAGCCCTCTATGTGCGTCTATCTAGGAGAGAGAGAGAGGGACACAGAGAGGGAAGAGTCATATGAAGCCTGGGTCAAACAAGCCCAAATGTCCGACCAAGCCGTCTATGTGCATCAATCTAGGAGAGAGATAGAGAGGGAGGAAGGGGGAGAGAGAGAGAGAGAGTCATATGAAGCATGGGATATCGGTTAGACTTATATGAAGCCTGGGTCAAACAAGCCCAAATGTCTGACCAAGCCGTTTATGTGCACCAATATAGGAGAGATGGAGAGGGAGGAAGGGGCGAGAGAGAGACAGACAGGCAGACAGAGAGACAGAGACTCATATGAAGCCTGGGTCAAACAAGCCCAAATGTCTGACCAAGCCGTCTATGTGCACCAATCTAGGAGAGAGATAGAGAGGGAGGAAGGGGGGAGAGACAGAGAGAGAGAGAAAGAGAGTCATATGAAGCCTGGGTCGAAACAAGCACAAATATCTGGCCTAGTCGTATATGTGCACCTGTCTAGGAGAGAGGGAAAGAGAGACTCCTAGAAGCCTAGGATATGGACCAGACTCATACGAAGCTTAAGTCAAGCCCAAATGTCTGGCCAGTTCGTCTATTTGCATCAATCCAGGAGAGAGAGAGAGAGAGAGAGAGAGAGATAGGGAGATGTGATTACGCTCCCTATCCAGCGGTTGATATGATAGATTCTTCCCCAATAGAAGATTATTCTGGGCGGTGATGATTTCCTTTTTGGGTTTATTCCGAGGCCCAGGACCGGCAAAATCGGCCCGTGTGAGTTTGGGCCGGGCCACACTATGTCTTAATGTTTTACAAGCATACCATAATGTTTTCTTCTCTTTCAAGTGTATTAAATGTCAATAAGATGACGTAGATTTCGGAAGAAGAAATCATGCCAGCCCAAACACTTGCATGGCCATGAAGATACATTACCTTGGCATATTAAAGCTTATATGCAACATTTTCCAGCTTTATGAATAAACCCCAAAATCATATTAAATAGCACGTCAAACATTGGAAATAACATAATTTGTTTAAACAATCACTCTTTTCTCATGAGAAAATTTACGTCAAGTGGTTAGTTGTTGATGACTGATGGGTCCAATTAGGCAAAAGGTGGATAATTTACGGAACATCCATTTTTAAAAATCTTCGGTTGCACCGGCAGGCGGGTCGACAGCGGGAGAAGACCCACCCTGTTATCCGTGGTCCTTTACATCGAAGGTCAACGGCGGAGTGCCCTCTGTCCGACCGTTGACAGGAAACGGGTCGAAGAGGAAGCGTGCCACGTCTGCGGCGAGGTCGTCGACCCGCCGCTCGAGCTGCCGGAGCTCCGCCGCCCCGACGCCGGTGAGGAGCAGCAGCGCCGCCGCGATGAGGAGGGGCCCGACGGGAAGAAGGGCCTTCACTATCACCAGAAGAGGAAACATCCGACTCAATCCCGGGGATCTAACCGAGAACAGAAAAACCGCAGAAATAGTAAACACACGTAATCTTAATCTTAGCTACAGAGAGAGAGAGAGAGAGGAGAGAGACAGGGGGTGAGTTCTTGGAGGAGGGAGAGAAGGAGCAAGCGCTAAAGAGATTTACGTAGAGAGTGATAGGGAGAGGGGCAGAGACATAGAGACACGAAATCGGAGTAAGAGAGTGACAGAGGAGAATGATACAGACACAGGGGGAGAGAGAAGAGAGAGAGAGAGAGAGAGAGAGAGAGAGAGAGAGAGAGAGAGAGAGAGAGAGAGGAAGATGAGCCTCCTTTTCCTCCCCAGTTAGGTATCTGAAGGGGAGATGAGGGAGACAGCATTGGCTTCCTCTTCCACCTGTGACATATGTGTATATATATATAGAGAATGAGAGAGAGAGAGAGAGAGAGAGGGAAAGAGAGCGTATACTTCTTCCGCCTGAGCTGGTATTTTGGAGGAGATGAGAGATAGTGGCACATTGCCCACCTCCTTCCGGGACTGATATTTGTAGAGGAGATGAGAGAGAGAGAGACCACCCACAAAACAGTGAGCCGGGAGTGAGTGAGAGAGAGAGAGAGAGAAGGGGCGCGTTAGAGAGAGAAAGAGGGTGCCTTTGGCTGGAGTCTCGTGAGAGTTTTCCATGCATTACGTGATTGGAAAGCTCAAATAGTAAGAGAAAGGAGACCACCCCTCTTCTCTTTCCCGTGCCACACTGTCGTCGCCCGCCGGTTTAATTCTCGACCGGATATTCCCGGTTCGGTTTATTCGTGAGACACGTCATTATTCTCCAATTTTAAAATTTATTCCTGTCATCGAAATAGGTTTAGAAATTAGGTAATCCTTGTATTAAATCCATCTTTCAACGCGCCGCTCCGAATCGGGCCTCGATTTTAACTGTGTCAAGGCCGGAAAGAAGCCCGGGCCACATGGAAATGGGCCAAGAAAACGGGCCTTCTGGCAGCACCCAATCTAGAAATCTCTTCGGGCCTCATTTCAGAGCCCGAGCGGACCGTTCCACGCCCGTTTTCCGCTTTCTGCCTCGGGTTATGCGCGAGTTCTGCCACGTGTAACCGTCTTCTTCCATGTGTCGCCGAAAGATTGGCGAAAAATTGACGACCTCCGCCGTTGGCTTCTCCCGCCCCGCGGCCCTTTTGAAGCAGATGGGGTGGTGGGGAGAGAGAGCAGAAGCGCAGAGATTCGAAGTTCTGGGGTGTGGAATTGTGGCCTCTCCCAGGTTCCGTCTCTTTCTCTCAATCTCTTCGTTTCTCATCTTGATCCTGCCCTCCGTTTGCTTCTCTGATCGATCGTGCTTTTCTAATTCTGAATCGGTGGACTTGTTCCGATTC